CATGGGGATTCGTGTACAAAAAATTGCAAGAAAAGGAAATTATTAGCCGGCGCAAGTAAGAATATTTCATTAATTGCTTATGTATATATTTTGTGCATATAAAGTAACATAACAGTACACATGAATAATAAAATCTGTTTTTTTCTTTTGTCTACATTCTATTTAACAGGGTAACATTTGACTTCATACAACATTACGCTTACAACCTACACTAGTTTGGCAGTACCTATAACACCATATTTTTAGTGGCTTTGCCAATATAGTGTTTTTGATTTTCTTATAAATGAATACATATATGTATTTTATTTAGTTATTTTAAATAGCTTTAGTAATATTTAAACTTCTTAAAGCCGTATTCAAACACATGCCATCTTAAAAGTCATTTACAAAATGACGGCATCTGTGTGTTTGTATTGTGATTAACCGGGAATTACAATCTCGTTTACAGTGTGAGTTGAGGATTAAACTGTCTCAAATCATTAGTCAAGTTTTATTTTTACCTCTAACAAGCATAATTTAAATAACAACTTTTGTTATCTCGTGTAAGTAGAAAAATAATTTTGCTTTATAAAATTGCTTTGGAGCAACTTCCTTTTCGTCTATCCACCCACATGAATCAATTATTCAGTTTTTAAACACATATCAAAATGTAGACAAAGCAATCTAGTGAATAAAATTAAATGTATTTTTAATGAACACAATATTTCCGTTGATCCTCTTCTAAATTTTTAGTTTCTGCGCTATAGCGCAATTTTATAGATATGTAAATAAGTACACTTTATAAAGTGTACTTATTTACATATCTATAAATTTACAAGTTCTATTAAATATTATGCAGTTCTGAACGTTGTTCCTTGGTTAATATCTTACACATGCGCATATTCGACTTCCCCGAGAAAAAAGCATAACGGTATGGCTGTTACTTAACAGTAAACACTAAACACATCATCTCGTACCAAATAAGCATTTTTCGTTTGAAAATTAATTAAACTGTTTCAAATAAAAACTGTTCCACTAAATATTATAAGCAGGAATATAATTTGTTTCCTATTTCCGCACTTTTTTCATAGGATTCAGTCTACTACTCATATGCATAGGTATACTTTATATTATTAGAGCATAAAAAAGTTGTTAAATAACAACACACAATACCAGTGTCTGTTTTTATAAATACTTAATTTTAATACTGTTTATTTTTAAAATAAATTGGCTATTGGCACTATTACAAAGAGGTAATAGTTAGTACGGAGATGATAGTGTATGGAACTAGAGAAATGTTTTTATAGATTCTTTACTAACTAAAAAAAGCTATGTATATTATTCCTGGTATCTGTAGACTAGTGTCTATAAATAAATCGTACCTTTAGGTAGAATATGGGGTATAAATCTTATTTGACTACAGGCACTTTTACATTCAACTTTTTTAACACAGACTTTATTTGTATGTGGGAGGTGGACAATGGAATTTTTAAATGAGTAAACTTTAGGTAATTACATTTTTTTAATTAAACCTTTCTATTTATAACACTATAAGGAATTCTGTGTTTTGAAAAGAATTTATATACCTTCTTATGTATTTATTATATGTATACCTGGTCTGTTCTAATCTTTTGCGAGGTACGATTATCTAACTCTTCAGATTATTGTTCGTTTATTCTGTTGACCTCTATTCTTGCCTAGTAATTTGACGTTAATTTATCTGTTGTTTTAAAATGATTAAGGATTAATAACTACTTAAAAATACTTTTTTTTGCATTATCTACAAGATAACTGATACGTGTGTTAATCATTGCATAATATTCAGATACCACCGGCCGAATTCAAATAATTTAATGTTTGGACGATTTTTTATGATTTAATCTTTACATGCACTGCACATAAAATATTATGTTGTGGTTAGGTAGAGCTTAGCTTAAAATATATATTTATATTCGAATATTTCCAAAAAGATAAAGTCTCTCTCGTATTGGATTAAAAAGAAAAGGAATAGAAAGTCATGACCAATAAAAAATACTGAATATTCTAATTAAGTAAAAGGCTATTAATTCTTAATATCAATTAAAAATATAACCTGTTACTAGGTAAAATCAGGTGTTCTTTACTAAAAGTTATTTAATAGTACGGCGAGAAAGAAGCAATTTGTACGCAATTGCGGTGTTGTGTTCCGCAATATCAAGGTCGTCGAAGCTCGTATTTCGTCGTAACGCTATGGCCTATGAGGGCAGCTCTATATTTTCAGGGTCATAATATTCTATGAGTCAACTTATCAGAATCTATTACCCGAATTCAGCAATCTATATACAAAAAATTAACACCGACAAGTACCTACACCTACTTCCAAAAGACTCAGGAGAATCAAAGTATTCACGTAAATCTAAATGATTTTGTAAAAGGCAATCGTGTTTGTTAATTATGCAAACTGTAATTTAAAAAAAATATCGGCCTTGCAGAGAGAATAAAATATTACCCTCTGTTACCGATTATTTATCTATTTTTTGTAATGTTTATGTTATATTTCTCTTACAGAACACAAGTAGGTTAGGTAGGAGCACCTGTTGACAATTTTACAGGCTGAAACAGATCACGCATCAAAGGTTGTTCAAAGCATTTTTTTAATTTTTAGATAAAAAAATTGTATTCAAATCATTTACGTTAGCCAAGTACTTAATGAGCTTTATTTTGGAAAATAACAGGAAGTGTAATAGATTCTAACAATGTTTGTATACTGATTGTGTGTCATTACAAAAACACGTGCGATAATGCAGAGCCGTTTGTTGCCGCACAGACATTGAGCGCTGGCTGCTGAGCGGTGACTGCGACCGCCTTGAATTACGTCAGTTTTATTTAGTTCGCCTCCTCGAATCGAACAAAACAATTATACGAGACGCGTATTTATAAAGATAAAAATTAAATAACTTATAAAATTAGTTTAAATAAACTATTGGTGTGTCTGTGGTCTAATTATTCTATTCAGTGTCAGTGACCGGTAAAAAAGTTCCGTTGCTGATGTAGTTTCTGCGTGCTTGTTTAATCCAAGTTTACTTGTAGTGTTTACGTCATTGGTTCTTAAGATATTATGACTCGTACTTTTCGGTGATTCAGATTTTATTCTTTCGACAAAGCTTTTGATCAGTTGGTTACTTAGTAATCGTGCTATTCTTACGTTTACAAATTTTTACTATAAATTGTTTATTAAAAGTTGCTATTAATTTGCTTCAAAAATGGATGAAGAATCAATGTGGAAAGGGTTTTACGATAAATTACAACAGCAAAAATCAGTGGAAGATCAAGTTCACGATTGCCGGTAAGACTTGCGAAAAAAATATAATTTTGAGATTTCTTTTGGCTATGTTATTTAACTCAAGTATTCAATTTTAAAATACCTACCCACTATTTTGGTATTTTATTTAGAGTATTTTATTTAGTAATTTGTTTTATGAGTTTGTTTGTAGTGTAGGTATAGGTTGTTCTAGGCATACCAGTAAATATAGATTTACATTTAATTTATAAATATTCGATATTAATTTTATTAACATTTTCCATTACATTATTAAAAGATAAAATATTAAAAACGAGGAGAATCACAAATTATTATTTCAATTGAGTGCTGTCATAACTAACGCAGGCGTGCCAATGATCAATAAAGAAAGTATTCACATAAAGTAATCAAAATAAAAAAAAGATTCCGACAAGTTGAAAACCTCCTCCATTTTGAAAGTCGGTTAAAAACACGCTAATTTGACCTCAAATTATATATTACTAGCAGAACCCGCGGCTTCGCTCGCACTAAAACTACAAAAAAATCTATAAAGGTAGTTTCCTACAAAGTTTCATCTTCTATTTTACCCCCTTATTTATAGAATGAACTTCGAAAAATGCTAAAACACGTATTTATTTAGTTTTATTGAAGATACCAAATTTCAAGTAACTCTAATCATAAATATTTTTTGTATTGTAATATAACGTGTTTCCCCGTGGGGATTAGATAATCTTCCGCGGTAAAAAGTAGCCTGTGTCACTCTCCAGTCTCCAGCCATTTTACTATTTCCACACAAAAAAAATCACGCCAATCCGTCACTCCGTTTTGACGTGAAAGAAATACAAACAAACAAACTAACATACATTCACATTTATAATATTATAGTATGGTTATGTATATGTATACTCTAATAGCTATATGTATACTCTAAGGTTAATAGTATGGATGTAGTAGCTTTTCATTTACAATAAATGTTCGTACACTTTTTAGCTGCGTTCGTATTTTGAGAGAAAAGTAGGTACTATAAAGCTAGGCGTCCACTATAAATAGCCCTCAATGCTGAATCATGAATGTATTGCAATGTATGTTTATTCAATATATTATCTCATAAAGAAATAATAAACATCAAAAGCATTTGGGGAGAGGAATTTGGGTCAATGAAAAATACAGCCAGCAAGAAAACATTATTAGGTAAATTTCATATTGTATAATACGAGTGGTTGAGTTTTTTATCCACAAAGGTGTGTGGGATAGGTTACCTACATGACACAACATTAACAAAAAAATATGTAGTAGGCGAGTTATGTTGTTTATTGCTGCCATGCGGCTCGACTCGGGTCTATTTAGTGGACGCCATGCTTAATATTCGTTTATCTGTTCGTCGCTTTATTCACAGATAAATATAGCAACGTCAAATGTCAAACTCAGCTGTGGTCTTGTTAAGAATCGACTATGTATCTATCATATACATCCTACCATCTACAGTGAATTATTTAACTATCTTTTTCCTGTTACATTTTCGTATTGAACAATAACTAGTAGGATACTACTGTGCTTTTAAATAACATTTCTTATCAAGTGACTTTGCGTTATTCTTTCATAAACATTCTTATCATATTGAAGATATAATTATTAGTCTAAAGTATATAAGAAAAGTTTCGCTGATATCATGATTCTTTCACGAGTGGGCTCATTACGGTACTCTAGTGTGTGTCTAGTGTGTGTAAACGGAAGTCGAAGAATGCATTTATTAAAGAAAAGTGGTTACATTAATGGACAATGGGTAAATGCAGAGAGTAATGCTGCGTTTCCTGTGATAAACCCGGCAGATGACAGCGTAATTGCCGAGGTTCCCGACATGGATGCTATTGATGCTAAAAAAGCTGTTGATGCTGCTTCAAATGCTTTTCAAAGTTGGAAAGATACTACAGCTAAAGAAAGATCCATAATATTAAGAAAATGGTATGATATCTGTGTAAAAAATACGGAATCTTTAGCTCAAATAATTACTGCTGAGGCCGGTAAACCCTTAGCTGAATCTAAAGGAGAAATTGCATATGGAAACTCTTTCTTGGAGTGGTTTGCAGATACTGCCCGCCACATTAATGGAGAAATTATACAAAGCCCTTGGCCAAATAAAACAATAATGGTCACTAGACAACCATTAGGAGTAGTATCTATTATTACCCCATGGAACTTTCCATTTGCTATGATTACTCGTAAAGTGGGTGCTTTGATGGCTGCTGGATGTACTTGTGTTATAAAACCTGCTGAAGACACTCCTTTAACTGCATTAGCTGCAGTTCAATTAGCTGAAGAAGCTGGCGTGCCTAAAGGTGTGATCAATGTTGTTACTTCAAGCCGGAAGAATGCACCTGCAGTAGGTCAAGTTCTATGTGAAGATTCAAACGTCCATTGTGTTTCGTTTACAGGCTCTACACATGTTGGCAAAATTCTTTATGGAATGGCTTCAAAAGGAATAAAAAGAGTTAGTCTTGAACTAGGTGGAAATGCCCCTTTCATTGTTTTTCCAAGTGCAGATATTGAACATGCTGTAGAAAATGCTATGAGTGCAAAATTCAGAAACAATGGACAAGCATGTGTTTGTGCGAATCGATTTTTAATTCACCAAGATGTGTATGATAAATTTCTACAACTATTCAAAAATAGAATTGCAAAGTACTGTGTCTTAGGACCTGGAGCCAAGGAGGGTGTAACATGTGGACCATTGATAAATATGGAACAAACCAAAAAGGTGACAGGATTGGTAAATGATGCCCTATCAAAAGGAGCAAAAGCAGTGATAGGGGGAAAACCGGCAGTTGAAATAGGCAACAAATTTTTTGAATCTACTATACTTACCAATGTTAATCCTGATATGAAAATATATGGAGAAGAAATCTTTGGCCCTGTTGCTGTTTGCCATAAATTTGAAAGTGAAGACGAAGTTGTAAAACTTGCTAATAGCACAAGAAGTGGGCTCGCTTCTTATGTATTTACTAAGGATGTGGGTCAAGCTTTTAGAATGTCTCGTCGCTTAGATTTTGGAATGGTGGGAATCAATGATGGCATGCTTTCTGCTGCCGAGCCTCCATTTGGTGGTATTAAGGAATCAGGAATAGGCAGGGAGGGTAGCAAACATGGGGTTGAAGAATACACTGATATTAAATATACTTTATTCTCAGCTCTAGATAAATAAGTAAAAACTTACTGTGTACATTTTTAGTTTTGGCTGTTATTTAATATTTAATTATATTTTGCATATTGTTGTTGTTACCTGATATAATATATTAATTGTAATAATAATATTATTTGGCATTTTTAAAGTTACTTGTATGTGAATATTACTAAATAATAAGAATTGTCATTCCAGTCTTCCAATTAAACATGTGATTAAAAATAAATATAAGTAGTATAATAATTAGGCTAAACAGTAAAAATATTGTTTTTAATCAAATTGTAATTAGAAAATTCTTGTAGAGTATGCATATTTAAGAGATTATTTTTGCCATCTATTGTATTTATAAATACAAAATATACGAATTTAATTAAAAAGTCAGCTTTTATTTCACATTATTGTACAATTATTAAGTTTGTTTATAACAAAAAAATACAAACAATGATAAAGTAGTATAATAATTATTATTATTCAAGAGTCAAGCAAGCATAACCTAATAGGTATAGCATCTTATTAGTTATTCTTGTCAATGAATCAATCATATAAATGAAACAAAGTAATATGTTAATTTAATTTTTTTTGCTATAGCTTTATACATTGAACAATATTTATCTTATTTCTCAGTTTATTTTATTTTATTTAATTTACAAAATAAGGCTGAATGTATATAGTTGGAATATTTTGTTATGTACATATGAATTGAGTGTTTTTTTATTTAAAAATTAAAATATAGGTACGTTTAATGTACGTATAAGCGCGTTATAATAATCTGGTGATAAAAATTCAAAGATAACCGACGGTCTATAATTCGAAATATTTTTTATTAGTAGTTTTTATTTTGCAAAAAATTGCCGTTGGCCAGGGTGGTTTCTAGAGGTTAATACTTTTGAACGTAGGTATTTATTATTTTTGAAATATGAGCATTGAGCTTTCATTACTCTGAAACGTGTGGATAGATTTGCGTGATCTTTTTTTTTGTGAGTGTATACTAGTGAGGTAAATTTATATAAATACTAGCGACTCACCCTCGCTTCGCTCGGGTTCGTCCCTAGTTTGATTCCCCATACAAACTTTCATCTCCATTTTCACCCTCTTAAGGGATGATTTCCGGGATAAAAAGTATCCTATGTCCTTCCCAGGCTCTCAAACTTTCTTCATAACAAATTTCATCTTAATCGTTTTAGTAGATCCAGAGAATATCCCCTACAACATTACAAACTCATAAACTCACAAATCACAATCTCACAAACCTTACCTCTTTATATTATTAGTATAAATGGACGATGGAAGTCCTAGGTAGAAGCAAATAATAACTTAGAATAATATAATATTGTACCTATAGGTAGGTTGTAACTTTGCATTATTTTAATGAGTCTGGCGATAACCTATGTCAATTTAATGTATTTATGATTATACTAGTGATTCACCCTTGGTTCGCTCGGGTTCGTCACTAGGTGATTCTTTAAATTGAGATAACTTTTATTTATAAACCGATCGAAATAAAACAAATACTAAATGTTAAGTGAAACTTACCACAATACATTAGTAAAAACCGCACCCAAATCGGTTCAGACGTTTCTTAGATTAGCGCGCACAAACACACAGACAAACAGACAAAAAATTCTAAAAAACATTGTTTTTAGAACTGATATACATAATAGAACCCCTAGATTGCGTTAATAAAGACTCCCAATAATAGTTTCAAATATCTTCCATGTATCAGTTAAAATTTTATTCTATAGTATAGATATAGATTTATTAAGATTCTATTGCGATCGTAATCATAATCATAATAATATAATAAATTAATCGTAATGTTCTATATTAAAAAGAAATAAATAAAAAACAATTAAAAAGCCGATTTTCGTTGGTGGTATTATTATGATATTAATGTAAACAATAAAAAAATAATTAGAAATAAAAAACGTTTTAGGCTACCAAAATTAGTTTTTTATTATCATTACTAGCGACTTACCCTCGCTTCGCTCGGGTGCGTCCCTAGCTACGTTTATAAAGATAAAAATAGTTATTGTGAACGTACAGTACCATACCTTAGGAGATAGACGCATGCAGACATTTCTGTGGACCTTTTTAAGACTTATAATTTTCTAATATTTTTCATGTAATATCATCTCTAAATGTTTACCTAGCGTCAGCTACGTCATCTTTCGAAAACAGTTTTTTTAACAAAATATTTTGCGTCATCATTGTGTCTGTCTGGCATCGTAGCTGTCAAACGGATGGACCGATTTCGATGTGGTTTTTTTTATTTGAAAGCAGTTTTGCTTGCGGTCGTTCTTAGCTATGTTTGGTTAATACTTATCGGTCCAGCAGTGTAAGAGTATCAGCTCTTTTCCAAAATGATGTAAGGCATTTTGGCGTATGATTACCCGATTAAGTGCTTCACGCGTGCCAGTGTAATCGTTAAATGACAATTAATTTGTGTAGCGGGTTTTTAAAATTTTTAATTTATAATTATGATTATGTATAAAATGTTTACAAATTACATACACAAACCTTCCTCTTTTATCGCTCTTTCTATTAGTGGAAGCCGTATCAAAATCTTTTGCGTGGCTTAGAAGAAGTAGAAGCGAAGAAACTGACAGATTTGTACTACTTATGTATAGATTAAAAATATTGACCATCCTCTTACATAATGAAAACCAATAACATTAACCAGCAAAGCCAGTGCCGGATGTCCCGAGTTTGATGCAAGCATGACAATTTTGATTTTGTCATTACATATACACGTTTGTAATGGTCTGTTAGTCGGGAGCATAGCGTTAGGAACCACCATCTAGCACCACGACTCAACGATGCGTGGTGCGAGGTAGTGAGTCATTTCGGTAGGCTACCAGGAATCATTTCGGTAGGGTATTTAAAACATTCATTTATTCAAAAATTTTGTAAATTAATTATTCTACTTAAATATTCAGGTCATATTTATAATAAATATTAACTAATCGTATTTCTATATTATCTTTTACAGAATACAAGAAGTGGACGACAGTTTTTTTGAAAAATTTGGATCAATTTTAAAACAAGCGTCCCAAAAAGCTGCTTTAGAGGAATCTACACCGTTGGCTCCATTAAAGGAAGAGGAAGAACAGGATGGTGAGAAATCCGCCACAGAAGTATCTGAGAGCCGAAGTGTCACGCGCGACTCAGACAGTGGAAACGAGACTTTGATCGATACAGATTCGGAGCCTGAAGATCCGGAGAAAGTTGACTTTTACGTTGAAGCTGTTGGATGGAATGTAAGTAAAATATTTTTTTACCCTCTAATATTGAGAATTTTAGTAAACACCAATGAGTTAGCAAGTTTTCTTAGATTTTACATTTATAACACAGTAGACTTACTTAACGACATTTCTAGACGTATTTTTTAAATTCTATTCGCTATAGTTACCGTATATTTTAGTCGTATTATCAGGATTTTTGTCTATCAAGTTAGTTGAAAAAAAAAATTGTTTGTACATAGCAATTTACATGCAATGCCTAAATGGTTGTATATAAATGAAAACAATGTAAGAAAAAAATGAAGACCTTTAATAGTTTTACAAAAAAGTCCACGATACGATATACCTACCTAATTTTCCTTTTATGTTTGTAAAAAAGTAGGCTAAATATTTTTTTTTAATTAGGTATGTAATATAAATTTTTATAAGAATAAATTATTCCATCGCCACTGTCATCGTCATCATCAACATAGTACTTAATAGAGATTAAATTTGACCTTTACAGTAGGTAAATATTTCAATAGAGATAATATTTATTTTTGATTACTACTACAATACTGCTTATGAAATATTTGAAAGACAACTTCATTATGATTACCATCAAGTCGCGGGCAAAAGCTGCAAATTTTTATGTGGAGAAGAAGTGGGGGTGGGTCGCTTCTCTATACAGATAAATAAAATTGAAGTGTCTGTTTGTAATGTCAAAATAACAGCGTTTTACTAAATGCATATAAAATTATATACGGTACTTATAAGAAAAACACATTTTTCAATTTTTTTGTCTGTCTGTCTGTTTGTTCCGGATAATCTCTGAAACGGCTGGACTCATTTTGACGGGACTTTCACTGGAAGATAGCTGATGTTATAGGGAGTAACATAGGCTACTTTCATTTAGAAAAAGAATTAGGGTTCCGCTCAAAAAAATTAAAACGTACATAGTAATGGATCCAAGCGAAGCGAGGGTGAGTCGCTAGTGTTCCAATAAAGACAATCCCGTTGAGACAAAATATGTTCTTGATTTTTTGCACAACGGCTATATTTCTTGTTTCTTTGCTGGGCCATTATTTTAAATAAAACTATCTTTTCGGATTTTTTTCGCGAATTTATTTTGATTTTTGGTTCCCGACATTTCGAATGCTTTACAGCAATCATGGTCACGGGAGAGACTGAGGTGTTACATGTCTCAAAGGTTATTATTTGTTATTCATTATATAGTTGTTACAGACAGTCTAACCACAAATAACAAAATCGGAAAAGATAGTTTTATTTAAAATGTCAAGTATTCGCGTAAATCTAAGAAAGTATTATGGGCCATTATTGTTAATGCTTTCGATTTTAATTAGCATTTAATATTTCATCGTAGTTAGTGCTACTGTGAGAAGCGTTGGGTTGCAACAATTTTGTGTTGTAGGTATGTATGTATTATGTTACTGATCAACATTTTGAGCTGATGACGGGGCGACGTTTTTATCATTTTACTTCAATTTGAACTAGACATTGGGTTAAGCTTATTTTAAGAATGTGGGTCGTGGCTAATTTTATTAATAATGTCGCTGTAGGTATAGGTTCATCTTTGGCATTGTTCCAGTAGACTTTTACTAATAATGGCATTAGTTTTTTAAGATTTTTGTAATAATAAATTAAGTTCTAAGTATTATAAAATTATTATTTTGGCAGTAAGAAGATTCCCTATAAACAAACTGCAGATTAATTTTAACGAATAAAATCAGTTTTTAGTCAATGTTTTGTAGGTGATGTCTGCAAAAGTACTTACATGTTTAAGTATTTCTATATGATAAAATATTTAAAACTATTTTCGCTAATTTTGTATAAAAGTATTATACTGTTAACTGTTGTCGTTAATTCCAAAAACAGCTACTAAGGAAATCACTGTCAATAAATTCTCAGTAAATTGATCAGTGCCTTAAATGACTTCTGTTGAGAGGTACATATAACGTACCTATGTACCTATTTATTTTTAATTTAATATTTATTTGAAATAATTAGTTAAAATGATTATATATTTTTTATATTAATTGTTGTATAGTTCGCGGGAATCTATTTAGTTAATTAAAATCTTATCAAAATTATTTTTTTATCAAAAGAAACTGGCTGTTCATCATTTATTCGCACATACATATGTAAATACAAATCTTTAGATGGATTACAATGGAAAACACATGTAAAAAATATACGTAATTGTACAAATTTTGGTCTACTAGTAACTACTTTTTCTTTGCCCCTAAAGAGATCGTTAATAGTGTTAAATATGTGCCTATGTCGTTGTAAAAATTTAAAATATAAATAATAAACAATAATTTAATATATTTTATATACCAAGAAAAACGTATTTGCAAAAAAAAATTAATATTATTAATCATTAAAGCTATTTTATATATTGTGTGTTTATTCTAGTATAAACTGCGTGAGATATTTTGAAGTGTACGTGTTAAGGCACCTACAAAAACTAGTGTTGATAATATGTATAATAATGTCAAAGTTAACTATACAAAGTGCAACAACCAGGTATGCCCACTTAAAATATATTGATGGCCCTGATAGATGTTCCATATACTGGACAGCTCAAACAAACAATGCCCCGGTCGTGGCATTCTGCCAATTCTATCATCCACGGTTATTTTGTCAACTTCAACGACAAGGTTGGTCTGAATGAACTTCTTCATTTACGCTGTTATGCCACAAATTTCTATAATTTAACATAGAACGTTAAACAACGTGAAAAACGTGAAATATATAAGTAGTATCATTTAGTACGTCTAAAGTCTAAACACTTTATGCATCTATTAAGATTTTTTTTTAAAGATAAAAAAAGCTCTTTACATTGTAAGAATATTCATGTTTATGGTTGTTCATATTTATAAATTTATTTCACATTCTACTTGTAGCCATGAATAATTGTAGCATTGCTTGAGATAAGCCTTCAATATGTTATATTCAATCAATTAGATTCAGTAGAAATGTCTAGATTGTACGCAGTCTGGGTTACTTCATCTCGATTGCAAATATTTGTAATTCCAGTGAAGCTATTATAAGTATTTCGTCGTACATTTTATTTTCTAAAATATATAAGTCTAATAAAATTTATAAATACTCACATTTTTTATTAAGTTTAGCTACATTTATACACACCTAAAAACTTAAAATAATAAGCTTCCGTAGTTTCCGCCGGTAAGCGTAAACTGTATGGTTTGTAAAACAAATAAATCGCTCGTCACTGCTCGTGCTTCGGCACTTTAAAACACCGAATGTGCTCTTCTATTTTTTATTTATAACACATTTTTATAGTTATGCCACAAAGTTAAATACAGCATTATCCATACCTTTGTCTAAAAGTTAAAACACATAGGAAGGAATTGATTGAATAATTACTTATCACGTTTAGCAGGTTTATTTTAAATGCAATCTTTTTCCTTCATTGGGAGAAACCATACAAGTGGTCAAGTAATAAATCAATAATGCACCCATTAAACTACTTTAGATCTGTAACTTGTGGGTTGTAAGAATGGCAAACAAGATTTGTAATAAGTATGGTGAATATAAGGAAATATCTGTAGACGACAATCTGCAGATTATCCATATATATATTTTTTAACTGTCTTGCTTATTTTCTTTAATACACCTAATACGGGTACCCAATTTATTTATAGGTGGTCGAGACCGAAAATATCGAATCTATTAGGTAATTTTTTAGCTAACACGAACTCGTTATTTTTTGATATGCTCTGTAAAATTTTTATGATAGGAACTTTCAAGTGCGCTCGTAATTTTATTGGCGGTATCTATCTATAAACCTTCGCCTAATTCACCGCTGTACCTAAGGATTATTTTGTAATGGAACGTACATAAATATTATTTTCCATTAGCGATGCGATTATGTGCTGTTAGATATTTAAATAAACGGATGTTAGCTGTTAATCGGAGATAAAATCATGTGTAGTGCATTCGTATTATAATAGAGGTTTTCTTTAATTTGTATTTTATTAGTATTCTTTGGTTTTATGTAAAATTTTATTTTGTTTCACCGTTTATGTTATTTTTAATGACCTCAGCGGAGAATTAAAAAATAAATTTTCAGTGTGTTTTTAACATACTTAAACAGATCTATTGAGAAATATATTTAACTCTAGTGCACCTTTACTAAATGCACTATAAAAATATGGCAATAGATAAGTTAAAAAATGGCAAGATAACGCCTAATCTATTATTAATAATAAACTAAATAATAATATTATCATTTTAGTAGTTGAAGTTATAAAATTGAAATAAAAATCTTAAAATAAAATCATCTTAACAGGTTGTTGACATTGCTCTATGTGACAATTTGGAAAAGATACAAGTAAAATAAACATAAAATACATATAGAATTATTTCGCCGAGTTCGCATTCATTTTCAATGGTAGCGCTTTGCGAAAATAGAATCTGGCGGCAGATCGGCTCAATTCCTGAGTCCCGGCCGGACTCGAGCGTAGAGACGTCTCGTCCAGACCCATCTGAGACGCACTTAGTTTTTAATCGCTTCATCCCGTAACATGCGCGAGTAGTGTCAAGGATATGTGTTTGTGAAAAGTGAGTGAATATGAGCAATACGGGTACACTACGAACTAAGTTTAGGGGCGTGAAGAAAGAGCTCCTGGACAGGCAGACCAGCTTGTTTATACAATCAATGACTGTATGTTCTTTTATATTTTGTCCTAAAAATAAGAAATAATATAGAATCTACATACATACATGTAATAAGTTTTTTTTTATTATATGCGTAGGTTTTTTTTTGCAAATGTCAAATAAACTTTAGTAATGTAAAATATATTATGTCTAATTTTATTTCTTGACGGAAGTCCAGTACAACTATTGATAAAAAGATGAATGCAACTTTTTTGTCATTGAAAGACATGCAAATGAGTTCACGGTTAAAAATAAAAACTCTTCAAAATTTAGGTAGGTGGCAAAAAGTTTCCGTCTGGGTTGAAGTTTTTTTTGTATTATTTTTTAAAGCTGTTTTAATTTAATGCGTCTCAACTCTCAAATGTTTTTTTAATGTCTCACGGTTATCTCTATACTTAACATGTAAATCTGGAGCGCTAATTAAAAATAAATGAATCTTATTTGTACTCGTCGAAGCAGTAAATCAGAAACACCGCGGAAAGCGATTCTGATCAATATTATGCTCACGGCGGCGCAGTTACCCTACCCATTATATAAATACAGGGAAAATAGTGTTATATTCCATTGTAACATAGCATTTGTATTTGGTCGCATAGCCCGCTAATATCTTAGCAACGAACTATGACATGCGATGCACTAACTCAGTGGGTTTCCGGGCTTAGATAGAAATAAGCGTGTGTGAAAGAGTCTATTTTATTGTGGTCCTTTCCAGTTGATGAACTTGCGATATTACTACGACTCATCGGTATGTTGTTCTTTCCGCTCGCAAGTGACTACTCCGTTTTGTTATGTAGATTTAAACGCTCTCATTTGTTTAAAATGACAGACAATGATACATTATTATATTTATATGTATATGTATATGTATAAGATAGCTTACCTCATACCTATTTAGGAACTTATCATATTAGGCACTTTTTTTTCTAAGTGTTTAAACTATTTTTTCTATGATCAACTTCAGAAGCGAAAAATGAACTTTTGTTTGTATAGTAAATTTAGGTCAATCACTGTTTCATCTCAAAAGACGTTTAATGGTGTAAAGTAGAATCGTGCCTTTAAGAGCACTTGGTTTATTTATTTCTAAAAATGATCAAACGTTCCTTTATTCATATATAGTTCGCACATAAGAACGGTTGATTATAATAAACATGCATGTAATTTTCAGGTGGATGAATTATATTTGGAAGTTTTGTATGAAATTTTACACAATGTCGGCGGATGTGACGTAGGATGTGAAGTGGGCCAGCATGCTATGCTGGGCTATGTACAAGAAGCTTTTAAAATCTCGAATGATAAACACATAGAACTTCTAACACAAGCAGAGGCAAAAGAACCTCCAGAACTGATGCTAAATGTAGAAGTAGTAGAAGGAAAGGACCTTGTCCCCAAAGACCCTACAGGTCTTAGCGACCCCTTCGTGACAATTTATCTGATGTCTAACACAGCACATAGATATAATACATCTGTAAAATCCGGAACTCTAAATCCAGTTTGGGAAGAACATTTTTCACTGTAAGTTATATATCAAAAATAAATATTCGCATAATATTTAGTAATGTTTGGTTAACTTTTTTAGCAGAACTCTATTTATAATGCATAAAACACAACATCATATACAACAACAAGATATTAAAAATTACTTCTACAACAAACAATAGAAGTCCATTAAGCTGGTAATTTTTGAATATTTAATACACTGCAAACTTGTTGGATGATCTAATTGAAATGTTTCAACAGAGAAATCGATGAATGAACGTAGCTTAAAATATGGTTGTATTTACATCAAAATTACTTATAAATACAAAGGTAGCGATAATCTGCTATGTTAGAACACGTTTTATGATCCATCCATTAACTGAAATACGCGAGGAATTATTGCTTTTGGCAACATCTATCGAAATAGATCGAATTTATTTATATTGAAGAATATTTATTATTTGCTTTTTTTGCAGACCTATGCCAGGTAATCTACAGGAAGATTCACTTTGTTTAGAAGTTTGGTAAGTTTCAAGGCAAAGCTCAAATGTTTTTAAAGAGTAAATTAGTTTCTTAAAGTAAAAAAGATTGATTGTTTTTTTTTGTTGTAGGGATTTTGATCCTGCAGAAACAGTGAAAGAAAAAATGACTAAAATATTTGAAGTAAAAGGTGTGAAAGGTCTTCGTAAGCTCATGAAAGAAATAGCCATTACAGCATCCACCGGAAAACATGATAACGAGTTGATTGGAACCGCCAATATACCACTCAAAGTAAGTTTAATATCAAGTAAGTTGATGTAAAAGAAATAATATAGGTAATATTTTATTATCAATAAGCGCTTTATTATATTTGCCTTTATAGTGAAAAAGATGGAGCTGAGAAATCTCCAGAAAACTATATATATTTTAAATTATGGTTACTCTTACTCTTGTCCGTTTGTTCTGGTTCATATTTAGAATATCTGGATTAATTTTACTGAAAATTTAGAAGTAGCTTTCGTCAAAGAAAAAGAAAAGATAAGGACGGGACAACCAACGCCTAGTATTATTTTTTTTAAATATATATTTCGCTTGAAAAATATTAGGTCTTAAGTGCTTATTCGAATGCGAAGTTATTCAACGGACATTCCTTAGTTTAAAGGTATAAAAAGAGACTATATACAAGTCAAAGGCAAAGGGACACATGCAATAACTTTATAGGTAATATTAAAAATATTTTGTGAGTATTATGATGTTATTTTGAAAGTTGGTCGCTTCTGTCAAGTTAAGGAAAATCTTTGGAAATATTACTAAGCAGTATTTGTTAAACTCAAGTTGAATAAATATTCGTTTATGTTTTGATGTTGTCTTGAGTAATGAAGGGAATATCGAGTTTCATTTGAACCAACTATATATTGAAATTATACTTCTTTTGGGACGTTTGGAAAAAAATATGAGAGTAAATTTTTTTCGTTCGCTTTACAAACAGAGAGTGACATACGGGATGAAATCTAGCTATTTTTGTTCTGTTACGCCAAAGAATTATAACTTCTTACGTGCATACACACGTTTTTTTTGGTCAGTTTTATTTCTTGACAAGGTTATGAAGCTTAATTTAATAATGAAAAATTAGTTCGCACTCTCAAAGTACTAATGAATAAGTTAGTTTTCTTATTATTCATAAGTCATAATATACAGTTGTTTGGATTTTGATCACGCACCGGTAATTGTATTAGTAAATTATATACCCATACTGTTGATACTTGAAAATGCTTAGAAACAATCTCTTTCCATATTGGATTTTGTTGCTAGCCGAATCGAGTTTTAAACAAAACAATGTTTAGAAATATGGTATTACTACTTCAAAGGCTTGGCTACGCAATGATTTAAACCGTTTACTAAAGTTGATTTTGTTTCTCTGATCACTTTTAAGGGCCTCGTCTCATTTATAGTTCACATTTAAGTTTTAGGATAACGGAACAACAAATATTTTTAAGTATTTTAAAACGTACATTATTTAGTAGATATATGTACATACTTATTATTATGATGTACGCCTATTCTTTCTTTGTTGATTCTGCAAACTCGTGTTGTTTGCAGCTTTGTCCGCCTGATTGATGTACATTGTACATGTATGTAACCAAAATTACTCATCCTGATCTCTTGCAAAAACATTGGACTCTCAAATAAACTTATGATAGCCTTTAGATCTCCTTCGTTCTCCTTCTCTTCCAGTCGAAATGTGTTATCATATACCACTGCCAGATTCTTTTCTGTCAAATTCTAGATACATAGGACTAGTAATTTTGGGATTTCATGTTTAGCATACAAGTATAGTGTATATCTAGATGAAAATATGAAAATGATCTTATATATGTGAATTTTTAAAATTTTATCAATGCGCTTAGTAATTATAATAACGTAACTTTATTCATTAAGTATATTTTATATATCCTTTTCAGTCTATACCAGCCGGAGGCATGACGACGTATTTAAATTTAAATAAAAAGAGCAAATTAAGGAGACAAGGAGTGTTGAAGACTCGCTTTACTTTTTCATCGGAAAAGAATTCACAAGTGGCAGCTCAAGAACACAGACATCTTTTGAGGATATTATTACTACACGAGCTAGAAAGCTCAAAGGTATGTTCAAAGTAGTTTATTAAATTTTAAATTTCGTATGTTGAGTTAAGTCGTAAAAAAATGTAAATAATATTTTCATTATTAGTGTATTTGTGTTATATACCTAAGCGAAATTTTTTTATCGGGTTATGTAATTTTAAATTAGTGACACTATGTTTTTAGCAGTTATCTTTGTTTGATTACCACACAATCCTTATCTCTTCTAAGCCAAAACATGTCAATTTTCCATTATTTTTATGACAATGAGGTAATTTTTATATAAGCAATTAATCGTATACGGATTGCATAAATAAAAATTACAACATTTTTAATCCTGTCGTTATTACTAGATTATGTTTCTAATCAGTAATTCTGTCAGCTAGTAAATGACTAAATGGCAATAAAACAGGCTTTGTTGATTAAAAAAATGCGTGCGATCCCTGTTTAGGATGAATTTTCTATCGGGATAGGCACGCGACTTCTTCGTCATTGTTCACCCATAATTTAGAATGTCTTCATCCATTCGCCATTCGACTCTTCGAATCTCCCTCTTCGAAAAATAAAAACCGAGTTCAAACAAAAGCACTAAAAAGTAAAAATTAACTGATTGGTATATTTCATTCACTATACATACCTAATCAAATAATTTCGAAGTCGGTGCCAGCCGATACAAAGCAAAGCACACCGACTTCGAAAACATTTGATTAGGTATGTATAGTAAATGAAAACTACCAATCAGTTATTTTCTACTTTTTAGTGCTTTTGTTTGAAGTCGGTTTTTATTTTTTGTTAAAAAGTTTTTATTCGAGTTTTCGGTTCGAGTCCCGCTGGGGGCATGCATTTGTGTGATGAGCACGAATGTTTGTACTCCAGTTATGGGTTTTTATATCTATAATGTGTGTGTATTTAAAGTTATACATGTGTAGTGTATCAACTATCTAGTATCCATAACTCAAGCACCGTAGCTTACCATGGAACTAGATGGTGCTGTGTGTTAATGTCCCAACATATTTATTTTTTTAATTCTCAGGTAGCTCCATATTGGTGGTGTGGGAACTTCAGTGCGCCCGCTGAAGGCATTCTAACACAGCACGCGGCGCAGAGCGGCCTGTCTCAGTCGGACAATTACCTCGCGCAGTGGTCTGTGTACTGCGCCGTCACGACCGACCATCCCTTGAGTTTCGCTCTCTTCAATGGATTGCTCGATAAAGTCACTAAACATTTGCAATCTGGTAAGTTTGTTAATAACTTTTTAATATTAATGTTAAATAATAATTGGAATTAAATGATAGTCCAATTTAATTTTGACGAGTTAATTTATCTATATTAATCTTGGACTTATGCATCATAGAATATTATAAAATCGTGTAAGTATACACAAAAAATCTGAAGATATAATAATAATAAACTTATTGTACACCAAGAAAAAATTACAAAAAACATAGATAATATAGTAGATTGTTATTTAAATAATATTTATAGTATAATACATTATAAAAAATGAGAGCTTTTAATAATCGTATTTTTTCTTAAAGGATTGGATTTGTGTATTAATAAATCATTTAACATTTAAGGCCTTGTCAATGAAGAGGATGTTAAGCTTTTCTGGGATGGAGCAAAAAAATTACTACCAACATGCTACAGCCATATACGGAAGCTAAGAAAGAAGACGGCTGGTGACAAAACAGTGCTAAAAACTCTTAGGGAAGTCCTGAATGTTCTTTACAAGTTATCAATATTAGATCTACCGGAGTCAATTGAGCTGTTTCCTGTCAATTTGTACGGTTGGTTAAGAGATAAGGACGATGGCACTAAACTTTCGATCCTTGAGGTTTTGAATCAAGCAGTTATACAGGGCGCTTCAGATTGGTTCGTCCATATATTAGATAATAATGAATGTAAGGACAAAACTGACGAGTCCAGGTTGCAACATTTGATCAGAGTGATACAGCTAGTGAGATCAGATTTGCAAAGGGCTGTGGAGTATTTCGACAGAGTTTTTGTTGAGTAAGTATATTTTGTATTTTATTTCTATCTAAAATGTACCAGCGGGCTTAGAATGGATGATACCCCGTACCTATTTTTTTCTTAAACTGTACTAAAATGACAAGCGTTAAGTCAAAGAATCCCAATATGTCCTTCTCATACTTTTAGATATCGAAGAAATATTATATATTACAATTAACGTGGTTTAATGGTTAAATATATTCCAAATCGTTTGTTACAGAGTAATGTCTTTCCCCTATTCAAAAGCATTATACGGAGTATACGAAGATAAAATAGCGTCTCTCGTCGAGCCAGAGGTGACGCAAGTGTGTAAGAACCTAAAGCGTTTACGTTATAGTGAAGGATCAACAAATAGTGTGTACTTGGCCGGTGGTCTTAATGGGGATACGGGGTTAGGAACACCCGAAGTGGGAATGGAACCATTGGCGATGGGAACTACGTTGTTTGAACTGTATCTGGCTCTGCAAAGGTTTTTGACGTGAGTATGTTATTAATAGTTATATATACAGATAAATAAAATTGAAGTGTCTGTTTGTAATGTCAAAATAACAGCGTTTTACTAAATGCAACGAAATTATATACGGAACTTATAAAAAAAACATTTTTTTTTAATTTTTGTCTGTCTGTTTGTTCCGGATAATCTTTGAAACGGCTGGACTGATTTTGACGGGACTTTCACTGGAAAAAAGCTTATGTTGTAGGAAGTAACATAGGCTACTTTTATTTTGGAAAAAAATAATTAGTGTTCCGCTCAAAAAAATTAAAACGTACCTAGGGATGAACATGAGCGAAGCGAGGGTGAGTCGCTATAATAAAATATTATAAATAAGACACCTTAAAGGAATTGGACGGCCCCTATATGGATATGGATTATTTTTAGGGTTATTTTGTTTTGCCTGAACACACGATAGGTGGCGCTTATCCGAAAGCCGATGGACTATTTTATACTATTGAACTATTTAAAACATAGTGAAATCAAAAAACAAAATAAATTTTGATGACTAAAATAGCGGGAAACAAAAATTTATACTAATGATCAAGTTTATTACATAATGATTCCATAATAAGTCAATAATTTGATTTCCAAAAGTAAGAAGGAAATAGACATATATTTTAGTTTAACAAAGATAGTCTTCAGTATAGCATATAGTTTACTATTATTATTAATTTTTACACCAACCGGACTTAACTACGATATTTTATAATATAAAGTAAATCTTCTATATAAATAAAAATGAATGTTGGTATGAATGCGCATAACTCAAGAATAGCTAGACCAATTTGGCTAATTTTTTTTCGTATGTTCCTTAAGGTCCACGGAAGGTTTTAATAAAGAGAAAAAATGAAAAATTAACGAAAAAAATAAATTTATATGGCTAACGCTGGCTAATAACTATTTATATCTATTTAAAACGTACCTAGCGACGAACCCGAGCGAAGCGAGGGTGAGCCGCTAGTAATAAATAAATATGTTGAGACATTAACACACATCGCCATCTAGTTCCATTAGTAAGCTATGAGGCTTATGTTATGGATACCAGATGGTTAATACACTACATATATATAACTATATATACATACATATTATAAATAAGAAAGAAGCTATACAAGGATTTATTGTACATTGTTGAATAAAACCGAAAAGAATTTAAAGTTATGCTTGTTTATACATATATATGTTGACAAAGGATTTATCCTTATTTACAATTATTTATTATTCTATATTATCTGTTTGTATGAAAGGTGTCTTTAAAGAACTGGGTTTGTAATTCACAAGGCAAAACCCAAAACAGACAAAACTTTTTAAAAATTCTATACCACTTTTATAAGGGTCAATCTCGGAAATAATTTATAACCTATAACTTTTTTATGAACCTTGTTTAAATAAACATACAAATATTGATATTTACAGATTGGGTCAAGGTCTTAACGAAACAGAATGGCATATCTACAGCATATCTAAATTTCACTCGTGGTTTTTCGGCGGAGTTGCGCAATGGTTAGACATCGCCGCGTACAAAGCGCTAACTCGAATAGAAAAGGCCGTGGAACTGGATAATTTAGTGCCAGTCGATACTAATGTGAAGTATAGCAGTTCCGGAGTAGATACGTTAGCGATTTTCTACCAGATAAAGATATTCTGGCAACAGCTGGCGTGGCCGGACGTTGAGGGATGTTATACTTTTGTTGCTAAGATTGTTGACGTAAGTGTTTTCTTTCGTTTTTTATTTGGTATTCTGTTGTATATATGTATATTTTCTAAAGAAGATTATTTTTTGAAGAATATCGTGTTTTTGTGGTAGTCAAGAAGCTAAAAACACTACAACTAGACTAAAAAGTTACACTGACTTCAAAAATTCTATTATTCAGTAAATTGGATACTAATCGGGTTTTCAGGGCTAAAATAAACTTTTTTTAGAAGTTATGCCTTGAAATTAGTGGTTCATTAACCTCTTTTACCCGTTAATTACCCAATTATCCTTTCTTGAAGTCGTACATAAAATTAAATTAACTATAATTTCACAGGACATTTGTCGGTGTTGCGTATTTTACTCAGACAGAATGGCAACTAGGGTTGGAACTGTTGGTACAGTGAGTACAGTATATGAGGAACGTTTCGAAGTGACGACGGAGTGGTGCGTCGCCATCAACAATATAGATTATGTGAGGCAGAGTCTACAGCCATTCGTACAGGAACTTGGCATGGATGAGATTATACAGAAGATGTGTGAGACTAGATCTCCTTTGGAAGCACAAAGGTATTGCTTATTTTGATATATTTTTTTATTATTTGGATAGGTACTTGATGAACTAGATGTTTCTTTGGGATTTAAAAAAAAGTGTGGATATTATTTTGTATGGTTTTTAGTAAGTTCTATTAGATTTTTATTTTATGGACGTATTTTTTTTATACTGTAGATTGTTAAAAATTGCGGGTTTGTTTATTTTTAAGTACCTATAATAAGACTAAAGGTGTAAATTATTTCAAAATTTAAAAACTTAAATATAAAAATGAAATCAAACAGATTATATGATGTTCGTGTATTGTGTCACCATAAAAAATAACAATGTGTGTGTGTGTGTGTGTTTACTTACAGATGTAAGGAGACTCTGCAGAATGTCATCGCTAATGCCATTGATACTGTCAAGAATAAAATTGTTGATCTGTTAGAAGTTATGATTAAAAAGGTAAAATGACACTATTCTTTATATTTCTGTTATTATTATTACTTTTTAAATTTTCCGTTATCAAAAGGTAAAAAACAGACAGACAGTTACTAACACATTTACTATACGAGTATTATATAATACTAGCAGTACCCGCGGCTTCGCCTGCATTCAAATTTCCCATCGCTACCAAACTTCAAAGTATCATCCGCTGGGTTAATATGAAGATGGCCTGAAGATTTCATCAAAATCACTCCAGCCGTTTTGGAGTCCATAGGGAATATACGTACACACAACGATATTTATATATATATAGACAGATTATAGCTTGGATTATGTATATGATTTTTCAGATGATGCCATCCATAACCCGTTTCCTAATAGAAGGTGCAGAACTGCTCCATCAAGACTGTTCGAGCATGGACCGGGTGATGCGATATCTAGAAGCTAATCTCGATACATTGTACCAACATCTCAATAACGAAAACTTTTCCAGAACATTGGATATAGTTTGGGAACAACTGGGCGAAGTTTTGTATGAACTCATACAAGCTAATTTGGAGGTATGCCTCACTATTTTCAGTGATAATTGGTTTTATACTAATTTTTCTGTTAATTCTATTTCTTTGAAGTAAATTTCTTATCAATTATATGTTTTGAGATATTGGTTTAAAAATCAATGAAATTTCCTATACGTAATTATACGGTGTATTTTATATTATGTATTGGAAATTTACTTATTAAGTATAACTAGACTGCTAATTGCTAACAGTAATTATTTAGTTTTTCTTAATAATATTAATTTTGGTTCTTCATGATTAACTGCGTTCAAATAACGTAAGGTACATGTCGGTACTGGATCATTAACATAAATTAACAGTTTTGTTCATCAATTACTAACAAAATAATTTAATTTGTAGAAAGAAAAACTTGCTACCCGTATCAGCTTTATTAGGCGTAGATATTTTGGCAAAAACAAAGTCTCCCCAAACTTTTCTTTTCGGGTAAATAAATACAGCATTTATGAAGCACGCAATTTAATAGAACGCACTTTAGACAAATATTTATTTTTGTATTATTTTTTTTATTTGATATTTTATGGAGTGTAATTTTTTAATAGCACCGAAAGGCAAAAATAACCCGATATATCGACCCGAGGCGTTTGACCAAATCCGTTGCCGCCAATCTAGATTCGGTAAATTATAAACATATAGCACTGTACTCGTTTGTGTGTTTGTGCCAGTAGACCGTGAATATTAAGGGATGGGATTTAAAGGCGATATTGGAAACTTTTATATTGAATAAAAGTATGTTTAATTAATATTTTTGTTGAAATTATTATTGGCGGTGATTACATTTTAGTGTGAGCAAGTAAAACTGCTATTTAGCCTGTGTACAATATTCTGTAAATTGTGTACAAAACATCCACATTTGATAGATAGTAAGCTGTTCTGATTACAGCCACAAAATCTTATTACCACCACCGAGATTGAAAATCATTTAATTAAAATAAAAAATATGCTATTATACAAAAAAAGTATTAAGTACTAAACGTGTAATTTTTATTAATTAAAAATTAACTTTAAAAACAATTAAGTTTCTGATATCTTCTAAGAATCTCATTTTATCTTTTCTTCTACCGTACTGTGATCTTGTGCCCTTTGTCCTGTTAGGCAGCATGGTCTTATTTGCGTGAAAACTATGACAGCATTTAAGTAAAAAAAAGCAAGCATAAAAAGCATTTCCATTACCACCTACCGTAGATATTAATTGAGTTATACATTTTCGCTTGGACTGGCTAGAAAAATGCCTGTTAAGTTATGATTTAAAATTAATATGTTAATTCGAAAAAATATTGCTTCTCTTAAAAATATGTAAATAAAATATAAAGAGACGAATGGGGAACTAATACCCCTGTATTGGTTCATGGGGAGAAGGAGGCATTGATAAGCTATATCGACTTTTGTATTAGGATATATAGCTTAATTATACGTTCATCTAGTATGTATGATTTTGTTTGCATTTTAAGCATATGCAATAATATTATATATAAAATTTTGAATCGTTTTAGTATGTGATATGAATTGTGGTCATTCGCGCTTATTTAAAATATTAGCCATGTTTATGTATACCATAGTGTCCTCATAGAAATATATTTAGCACGAATGCATGGGGAAATGCATTTACATTCCTATATATTATATCTCGTTATGTTGTTATATGTGCATGGGAATTACTCAGTTATATAAATAAGTATACTAAACGATCATTATAAGAAAATCTGAGCAAAAACTAAAAATGATGTCGGAAACATAAAACCCTTTAAACAAGAAAAAAAAAATCAGGTCAAAGTAGTCGCTCAAAAATTATTTTTTAACATTAATTTATAAAGGATATTTGTTCAAAATGATCGGAACATAAGAACGATACTTAAATATACAATTAACAATTTTTATCGGAATTATCTGCCTAAATTATAAATAATATGTATTACGTATATAATATATAATTATGAACGTTGAACATTTACACCATTTTCAAAAATAAAGATTCTTATATAATTAAAGTAATTTTTCATAACTTATTCATATAACTGAGTTTCATGGTGATGGTATGTTCTGAATGTGGTTATGGGAATTTGAAATTATATGAAATATTAAACCAAAATGGTCACGATAAAATGAATTTGCAGAAACGACGGCCGCCATCTTTCTTTTCTAACTTACATGAATGTCTGAAAATTATGGTGCGCTCATTCAGACAAGATAACAAAGATATTTACACGTCGGATACGTTAAAACGAGTGGAATATTTGTTGAAAATACATGGAATGGAGACAAGGGAACTGATCCATCAGTATCACTTGGAAAGATGGCAGGAGCAACAAGCAATATCTGAGCCGAAAATGGGGTTGTTGACTGTCAGGGCTCAGTTCATTGAAAATAATTTGAAAATAGAAATAATGAACGCTAGGAATTTAATGGCCACTGATTCTAATGGTGAGTGTCTTTGTTTTATAGATATATCAACTATTGAATGTATTTTATAATCATGAAAGCAGTTTGTCTTTGAATTTTTGTTCACTTTCAAAGTCTATGAATGTATTCAAATATAGTTAGGGAAAATATTTTTGTTTTGATCATATTTTTGTGATTTTTTTTGTATTATATTTACTTTTTTGAAATCGCTCAAATGTGCTTTATTTTTCAGGTTTATGTGATTCATACGTACGTGTGGGCTTACTTCCAGAAGATTCGTTTGTGAATGTCGAAAAGCCCAAAACACAAACGCATAGCAAAAACCTCTTTCCCTTATATGATGAAATGTTCCTAATGTGAGTATATAAATCTAAAATAATACAAGAAAAACATACAATTTTATTTTAATATTACAATAATATGTTATTGCTTGTAACTGAAATATAGTTAGCATTAAAATGATTAGTGATGATGCCGCTTATATATATTTCATTTTTCATTTCTGTTGAATATTATATATTATTAGCGACGTACCCTCGGTTTGCTCGAGTGCGTCCCAGACCTTTAATTGATTAGGAACACATAAAAGACAAACGCCCAAAGATTTTTTTATGCCAGGAATTCTCGCATGCATATACAGAATAATTCACAAGAGTTTCATTACAATCGGATCAATGGTTTAGGAATGCATAGAGGACAAACATACGAACTTTTTATTTGTATAAATAGAAGATTGTAATAATGACCTCCCGACCGACTGCGGCCACAGCGGCCAGTCTCATTGAAACTAGCCAACTGCGCAGGAGATATTATAGTGCAGCGCATGTACGTGCAGACACAAGGCACTCTCTATTCCTCATACTCCGGTGGGACGCCACGAGACACTCGCGGTGAGAGTTAAGGCGCACGACCGACGGCTTTACGTGTTTTCCGAGGCACGGGGGTGAAATACCGCCAACTTCCCAACTCCGGGCTGTTACTGAGACTCGAAAACTAAACTTTACCCGACCCGGGACTCGAACCCAGGACCTCTCGATGTGCAGCCGTACATGCTAGCCACTACACCACCGAGGCAGTTCAATAGAAATATAGAAGATCGTATTGCTTAACTAATAAACATAAAATATTTTATACACCACAATACATCACAAATCAAAATAGAAAACCCGGATAACGATAAATTCCTCCACAGACAACTGACACCGGACCAGCGTCGTATTCAAGACGGTCTCATCCACCTGGTAATCAAAGACAAGGATATGTTCAGCGTGAGCAACACTTTTGTGGGGGAAGCTTATCTACACTTTAGCGAGGTCCCGGACACGCCCGCGCCCATATCTAGCCTGCCACAGCAACATCTACCGCTGTCAAGACCCGCTAATATTGGTATGATGGCTTCTTTTTAAAAATGCTTTTATTTGTTAACTTATTTTGTTTACTGGACGACACGTTTGGCTCAGTTTGTTGTGACCCTACTTGCTGTGCCAGCGGTCGCGTGCTCGAGTCCCACTGGGAGCATTCATTTGTGTGATGAGCACGAATGATTGTACTCCAGTCATGGGTGTTTATATTTATAATATGTATGTATTTAAAGTTATATATGTGTAGTGTATCAACTGTCTGTTATCCATAATACAAGGCTCGTAGCTAACCATGGAACTAGATGGTGCTGTGTGTTAATATCTCAATATATTTATTTCTAAACATGTTTTTCCAACAAAGTTCCTTATCGCCGTTATACTCAGTACATTTAGCAAATGAGAGCTAGATGAAAACAAGTGTAATGTTTCGACCGTCACGACACTTTTTATTATGTACTAAGAACACCCATTGACGTCATCACAAGTACCAGGCGATCATAAGTATTAAGGAATGTATGTTGTAAGAAATTCCTCTGCACTCTGTAAAGGCTTCCTTTCATTCTTCGATGAGCTTCAACACGTACAATGTACGTTGCTCGATGTTTATGATACTCTAGTACTTGTGACAATTTATATGATCTTATTTACGAGGCAAGGGCAGACAGCGAAAGAAACTTCATTTCTACCATTTGGTGCGTTTATCGATATCGATATTCGAGACCAACGTAAGTTATTTGCATTATATTTATTAGTAAGGAAATTAGCGGACGGTGTATGTTAAACATAACGTAATAGCGTAACGTAATAATGGCCATCGTCAGCGCTTTCATGAAATGTACTGTGAATGTCCCTTTTTATGTTTATCAGCCCAGAATACGCGCAGACGAATTATGTTCGTGACACTCCCGTCCTTTACGAGTTTATAAAACGTGGTGTGTCCTTGTTTGTAACTATGTAATAAAAACTTGGGAGCTGATTTTAACCTTTTAATTTACGTGTCGACTTGAAACCACAGAGTTGAGAATACACAATACTATATCGTACGGATGCCTCATTCCATACATTGAAACAACTTTACTTCGGGCTTTTCTTCGTCCTATTGATTTCTTATATGGACGATAGATGGCGTTGATCCACAAACTGTTGAACTATTTTTCTTTTTTCAGACGGAGACGCAATGAAGGCCATAGAGTCTAGACAGGGAGACAAACAAGCACGTGAGTTCCTCAAGAAACAAAGACAAAAAATGCCAACCAAACAATTTTTCTCGCTAGGATGAATCATTTTTATACATATGGAAGCCAAATTTAAGTAATTTGACACGCCTATGTATCGTACAAAAGAATTCGACTTATTAATACATTTGCAATAAGAGATATACATATAAATGTAGGAGTGTCATTCAACTTAAAAACAACGTTTTAAAATAGGCCATTTCAATGACATGTTCTTTGAAATCTACAATGGCGTAAAAATTGAAATTTCATAACTAAACAATATTTTAAATTAATTCATGCGTATCTTTAATAAGTCAGGTTTTTCTGACTGATAATACTCAGTACTGAATAATATTAAAAAATTTCACTGAACGGAGTTGTGGAGTTAATTTATTTGTATGAAAAAAATTGGCTATAATATCAGAGACTAAGGGAAGCAGCTTGTAGGCAAACTCGTTTCTATGAATGTATAATAATGGAGAAGTTTCCAAATTTTTTTTATGTGTAATTTGTAAAAATTTAAGTAAAATACAAACAAGTATAAAGAAATTATTAAAGAAATTATGAGAAAGTTATGAAACTAAACTTGCGCTTGTATAATATTGTATAATAATAAATTCGTGACGTCACACGACTTGAACGACCGAAATTTAAATTAATTTCTCAGTCATTTCTTGATAGATTTAAAAAAAATATCACTGATTTATTACTTTTAATCTATATTATAATTCCATTGTGTTAAAATATGATAGTAAAAACATAAGGAAATTTCTCCATTCTTTTTGTTAAGAATCTCGATTTAAGATTTCCTGCATAATTTATTAAGTTAATTATTTAATATTGTGTATATTTAGATCTCAAACGTTTGTAAAAGAGATAATTCGATCATTACGTAAATCGTGCTATGTATGTTTTGTATGGTCTGAGAACATTTTTCAAATTATTATTTATATCTGGACTTGTGATTTTGTGTTTCCATTGTGTTTCTGTTTGTTTTTCATTAATTTATTTGTCAAAATATATAAAAAAAGTTTTTTGTGATATATGTAATTATTAGTGAGTCATATAAAATGTTCATAACTAATATGCATATTAAATTTAATATGCATAATATATAGCCTTAATGGAAGCAATAATAAAATTCGCTCCTTAAACTTAAAGATATGCCATAGAATTAGTATGTAGATGTAAGTGTATATTAGAGTTTATACGTGTGTGTGGAATATGTAGTTACTAATATTGTAGTTGCTGTATTCTGTGATAAAAATTACGTGCCTTAAATATATATATTTGTTATATATTAATATTAATATATATATATATATAATACGATGATATTTATAGGATGGTCTGTTGTTTAAGTCTAATGGTTTTTTTCATCAACCAAGTCGATGTAAATTAACCGTCAGACTTAGTTGGGTATTTTTGGTATTTTTATATGTATAAACCAAACATCCTGTTATTAGGGGTCGTGGTCAGAAAGAGCAGAATCGTCATCGTCAATCGTCAAATCGGTCTCAAATCTAAATAAAAAATATTTCATTATTATATATTATTGATATACATACAGATAAATGGAATAAGCAATTTATAATGTAATATATATTATGTGAAATACGGACAAAGTCGTGGTAAATAGCTAGTTTTGGCAAATTTGTATTAAGTCATAAAATATCGATTCTGCAATGGCGCACAGCATGAGTTCGTAGTCCTTTGTATATGTAAATATTTTTATTACTTTACGAATTATGTTACTTAGTGTCTTCTTTATTTCTTATTTATTAATAAAGCTATTTTAAATGCAAATGTGTCACATTATTTCAACTGTTGTTCATTAGTGCCGCCGGTGACGCATGGATTAAGTATGCAAGAGCTTCTACGGATGAGTTTTGCTTACTATTAAAATTAATATTATAAATCTATACTAATATGTTATTGTTAATTAGTGATTGCTCGCGTATACATCCATGTTGTTTATTTATGTACCAGCGGTTCACCCTCGCTTCGCTCAGGTTCGCCTTAAGAAAAATACAAACAGATCTATCCCACGGGCACCGTTCATTTTTCTGGGATGAAAGGTATCTAATATGCAAAATTTCATTTAAATCGGTTTAATAGTTTCGGAGATTTTATACTAGTGTCACCTATACTTCGGTGGGACGACTGCTCGACACGACCAGCGAGAGTTAAGGCGCAAGAACGACGGCTTTACGTGCTTAAATGTAGTGACATACACTTTTATTGTAGGCAAATCTGTAAAAAAAAATTATGACGGCAAAAGTGTTGTTGCGCATCGTTACAGAAATTTATATTTTATTTCGGTAAGTTGCAATTACTGGGTTATTGGCGGGTTATTACTTGAAGTTTTAGGTAAAAGCTAACACTCATTTTAATTGAATTATTTTAAATAGGCGCATTCCGTAATTGTCAGAAAAATTGCTTTATAGTAATTCGCTAATAATATTATTCACTAAATATACTTCATGTTTCATTACGTAACGACGAGGACATGTCTAGTAACTAGTACTGTAATCGATATTGGTTTTGATATGCTGCGCGATTACTTGCAAAGCGCATTGCTCTTTTTCTTTCTATTACTAGCAATTAGAATTAATATAATTATTTGATGTGCCGCACAAAGCAGAAGAGAGGCTCAGTTGGGTGCAGAACTGCACATTTACAAGTATACTTTGTAGCTTTCGTCGTAATTTGTCACTAGTGAGCGGGTATCATCATAGAAGACCAGAATAAATCAAGAATGTCAACATTGTCCACTAGAAATCTTCACGAGAAAAGAAATGTTCATTTTGGTCATTTATTTATTACTTACTCGATTTAGAACCTCCATGTTTACGCTCTGAAGTTCATGTGAATATTTTAAAATATGTACCTACCAATATTAAAATGAAAACATCAGATAAATGATGACTAATCAGTAATCACTTATTGAAATTGAAAATTATATAATTAATTATCACATAATGATCTGTGGTTGTATATATTTTTGTGATCACCTCTTAAAAATCTTCATTTTGATACCATCATTAATGGAATTGGTTTGGAATTAAAAAAAAAATAGAAATCCGATCCGAGTCATTCGGAGCCGGTCATCCGAGACAGATGACCAAAAACCAAATTCTTAGGTTTTACATATTAGTATACTCTTACAATGCAGTTTTTGTATTTTTTCTCAAAAATAAGATATTTTCAGTTTCAGAGAGTAAAAAGTAACTTATATGTTGACCCGGATAACCAGCTATCACCATACCAAATTTCATCAAAATCCCACCAGTGGTTTTTTTGTGATGCGGTAACAGATAGACAGACGGACGGACGGACGGACGGACGAACAGACAGACAGACAAAAATTCTAAACACCATAGATTCGGCCTCTGTATCGAGAATAATGACTATTTCAATAAGATTTTCTAAAAAAAATATTTAATGTACAGATTCAATTCAGATGGAATTTTATTATATATGTATAGATCAGGGGCTCCCAACCTTTTCTTGACCAAGGACCATTTTGATTTCTTTGTTGTTGGTAGGGACTACGAAGTACTAAAAAAATAAAGCGATTCAATTCGAAAATAAACTTTAATCAAAAACTTATACTAACATACATTATCAGTATTATTTTGAAAGAAAACATAATATTGTTAGTGAAAGTTAAATAAAATTTAAAGTAAAGTGATTTTTGAGCTTGCATCTTTTTCACAAGTTCGGTAATCCTAGGACTTATATTATTGCTCAAGGCTACACGCAAATCGTCACTTACTTTCAATCGATTCCTCGCCCTATTTTTAATTATCAATAAAGCGGAAAACCCTTGTTCACATAAATAAGTTGTTGAGAAAATCAAAAGATAGCGCAAGGCGATTTCTCGAATTTCAGTGTAAGAAATTGCTTTTTTACACCAAAACTTCTCAAGTGAATTAGATTCAAATGCGTCCCTACAGTTTCTATCGTTTTCAAATTCAATGAGTTCTTCCTGGATTTCTTCTGGAACCTCACCAGCGTCCGTGCTAAAAGGGTTGCGAATAATTTTTTGATTATCTTTAGTTTCTGCTTCGGTATATTCTGGAAAGTAACGATTGAATTCATCAATCAACATTTGCAGATGACTCTTGATGTTGTCTTGTATGTTTGCCTTACTCGCGTCATACTTTTTATCCTCCACATGTGCTTTTAATGTTGCGAACGCAGAATAATTGTTTTCCCCAATTTTGCCTAACCATAACTGAAGTTTGCAAATAAAGGCACGAAGTTTATCCTTAAAGATAAATATATTTGCAACGTCTTCTAATTGTTCGTTTCCGGAACCTTGCAATTGTAAGTTTAATTTATTTAAGTATGTAAAAATATCCACAAGATAAGCCAAATTCATTTGAGATGTCAGATCAGAAAACTGTGCCAGTAATTCATTCATTCATTTTTTTGTCAGCAAGTAAAATCTCGACCTCTGCTCTGTGTTCGTACAATCTTCCCAACATGTTACCTTTCGACAGCCAACGGACTTCTGTATGAAAGAGAAGCGTCTCATGGTCAGAATCCATTTCTGTGCACAGTTTTATGAAAATTAAATAATAAAATTATTATAATTACTATAAAAATACAAATTTAATATTAAAAAAAAATATTAATAGTAAATTTCCAATGCCCTCAGTCTTATCCCCCCTCAGTCACGCCTAAAGAAGTTTTACTTCAAAAAAGAATAACTTTAACAGGAAAACGAACTCTCTATCAAACAAATTCAATAATGCTTTAATTATTTATATTATTATATTTTAAATGAATTTTAAGGCTAGTGATAGTTTCTGCCCATTTTAAGCATTAAATGGGCATTCTCCTTTTGGCTTATATTCTCTTTTGTAATACTAAAATTGTTTAATATAGTAAATCGTGTACTTACCTATTTTATTTAATGAAGTTTGGTAAAAAAGTATAGAACGACAGTCTGTAATGATGCAGAGCTAAATCACTGACACCGTTAAGATAAACAAATTGTATTAGTTGCGTACGCGTGAAACTTCCCGGCTCGTGCGACTGGGAATTCGGTTATGAATATATAGGTAGACGTTAAAATTCGAAGTCGTTCGCGGACCACGTTATTAGCTCCTGCGGACCACTAGTGGTCCGCGGACCACTGGTTAGGAACCATTGGTATAGATATATGAACTAATTTTAAACTCATAAAACTGATAAATTTTATATTTTATCTTTTAAGAGATTTTATTTATTGAAGCCTAATTAGAAATTTAAAAATGTTTTTTTGTTGATCATACGAAAATCTATTCATAATATTGCGAAAGAGAGATCTCATTTCCATCATTTGATATAAATATCTAAACATTACTTGTCAACTAATTGGAGAATTATTATGGAAGCTACGATTTGCGCTGTGACGGTAAGGTATAGTAGTATACTATGCACCTGGGCGTCTCCCTACAGGGGTTCGATTTTCGGGTTGAAAGTAGCAAAATAAGAACAAAACAATTATTTATTATAATATAGGCTATATATATATATATATATATATATATATATATATATATATATATATATATATATCATATACCTAATATAAACTATATATTATATGATATATAGCCTAAGCCTTCCTCAAAAAACAGGCTATCTAATGCGAGAAGAAATGTTGTTTGTAATACATATATTTTACATAAATAATATGTAAATTTATATTTGTACAGGCGTTAGGTGATCTTATTGTTAGTAACTGTCCTAATGAAATTTAGCTCTGTGAAGAGCTGGCGAACCCGTCAACATATAGCTAGAATCTAGATATAACTTTATCTTTACAGGTTAGAGTTGCTAATTATGTACAAAAATGTACGTGTCGAATTGAGAATCTCCGCCTTTTTTTCCGTCGATTAAATAAAGGTTCTTCTTGTAGCACGTGTCGGTGATTATGTTTTTAACCGACTTCCAATTCGAAAAAGGAGGAGGTTCTCAATTCGTCGGAATCTTTATTTTTATGTATGTTCACCGATTACTCAAAGACGCCTGAACCGATTTGGAACATTTTTTTTTGTTTCAAAGGGTATACTTCCCAGGTGGTCCCATTTAAATTTTATCGAAATCGGTAGAGCGGTTTTAAAAAAAATCTACAATAAATATTTTTTTAAATAAATTGTTTAATCGAACTTGTTATTAAAAAAGTTTCTTCTTACAAATTACCTGCTTATAACGTCTAAATTAAAAATGGAAAAATAAAAACTTTTTAACAAAAAATTAAAACCGACTTCCAGGCACTAAAATGTAAAAAATAACTAAACGGAGGTTTTTATTTTTTGTTAAAAAGTTTTTACGTATTAAAAAATAATATACACGCGGGTAAAATAATTGGGACAGAAACTAGGTAATATGAATCTATATGAAAATAAAATAGAAGTTAAATAAAAAATGTGACAAGAAGAAGCATCTACGAAGGTACATACCTACATAATACATATTATATATATATATATATATATATATTAGGGATAAAATAAAATTTTGTTGTTTCCATAATACTTTCTTAGATTTACGCGAATGTTTGACATTATTAAATAAAACTATCTTTTCGGATTATTTCGCGGATTTATTTTGATTTCTGGTTCCCGACGTTTCGAATGCTTTACAGCATCCATGGTCACGGGAGAGACTGAGGTGTTACATGTCTTAAAGATATAGTTGTTACAGAAAGCCTACCCACAATTAACAAAATGAAAATTGCACCAATTACATTACAATATTTTTAACTTTAAAAATTTTTTTTATAATTTTAATTATAATTGAATATGGAAAATTATTTATTTAATTTTTGCTATAATTTTTTTTTTTTTTATAATTATTACAATTTTAAAAATATTAATTAGTAATCTATATTTAGTGTTGCCATTATTATATTTATAACCATAAATAAAAATATAAAAATATAGTATTAATTATTAAAGCCATATAATTGTTCTATGTGTAATTTAAAAAGTTAAAATTAATTACGGATAATCATTTTAATTTAGTTTGCTATTATTTAAAAACAACTTACTAAGCAACACTATTAATATATACTTTTACAAATGAAAAATATTAATCTGATAAGCTGTCATTTTGATCTACACAGTATGAACTTACTACATCTGCCTGTCTGTTATGTATATATTTATTATTTGATTTTATTATATTAATAACAGGATCCCATGACGATGGTAGTACCCAGCCATCTTCCCTATTGAAATTTGGATGTTTTTTAATTTCTATGGCTTCTCGAATCATTCTAGGGCGATATCGGTTTTCTTTCGCCAGGATTTGAGGTCTATCGAAACGAATATAATGGCTTGGGCGGTCCTGGCTATGTTTGCAGACAGCAGATGTTGTATTGCGACGGTGCTTCACATCAGCTATGTGTTCTTTGACCCGGGTTCTAATTGTTTCCACTTTTTTTTTATGTTTTAATAAATAGTTCTTATATTATCTAATAGATGGACATCTGTCCATTATAGTCGATATATGTAGGTGTATAAAACAGATAATGACTCGTCCACTTCAAATGGTTTTTTGTATGAATGGATCCTTTCAGCTTACTTAATTGGAGACCATCTTTATGATGAAACATTAAAAAATGTGGAAACTAATCTAAGCCTTCGGTGTAGTAAACAACATTTTAGAGAATATATATTATTTATTGCATGTGTAATTGATCAAATAATATCTGGTAATATAATGTCGTCTATATTTGGGTATTTTACTCAGAATTTGATTGACTGAGACATAAGATTTATCTCGTTTAATAAACAAATAATATATTTTTTTACGAATAAGGAAGAGATAACAATGATTGTGATTCATACAATAAACGATATACAATACATTGTACATATAATTTATAGATACCTACATTCTTAATCCAGTCGAGCAAATAACAGTTGCTGTTGACATGTTAATTGCATATAACAACTAGCATACCGTTGTACCAATAATTATATAAATGTTTAAGATGTTTTCATACTTTGTTTGCCAGCAATAATTAAGGCAATCGAGAGCCTATTTATTACCTGTAAAAACTTATTTGAGAAAACCTCTTAATTATGCAATTATATAAATAGGTATGGCTTATTTTGAATAACTTTCGTCTAAAAATATGTTATAAATACAATTATTATTAAAAACATACTAATAGAGATCTATTAGTTCCCACGGGAACCGTTCATTTTTCCGTGATGACAAGTAACCTGTTGTTTGACCGGCAATATAAGGTATCAGAATGTTAAATTTTACTAAATTAGGTGCATAAGTTTTTGTGTACTAAGCTGTATAAGATACTATAGTTTTTTAACTATCTCACGGGAACTCTTTAATTTTCCGGAATGAAAAGTATCTTACATGTTGACCGAGGATATAAGGTACGACCCGTCCGTACCTGTCTCGCTGGGTCAGGAGGCCACACGGCGTCCTGACGTTCAGGCTGACGCAGATGCTTACCGGGCACGGGTGCTTCGGTAAGTATCTGTTTCAGATTGCACCTCGGGAACCGTCGCCCCTATGCTACGAGTGTGGTGCGTCCGAGGACACCTGGCACCACACCCTCGTGGTATGTGCCGCTTGGACTCCCCAGCGCCATGCCCTGATGGCGGTAGTGGGTGGAGACCTCTCGTTGCGAAGCGTGGTGGGGGCCATGCTACGCGACGCGAGGTCCTGGTCGGCGATAGTCTCCTTTAGTGAGACCGTCATCTCACTGAAGGAGACGGCGGAGAGGGAACGTGAGGTTAACGCTTTAGTGGACCCTCTTCGTCGCCGTCGGCTAGGGGGGAGGAGGCGCCGGTATGCGCATCTTCTCCCGCCACCCTAGAGGAGCTACGGCGGGGGGTCTCTCGTTGACTCCCCTGCACGTCATCGGGGCGGTCGGGATGCCCTGTGAATCGAGGGCATCTTGATTTAGGCGAGGCTGGTCCGCGTGGTACGGGCCGTCCGCAGGGGTGTTGTAGTGTGTGCGCAAGCGATCCTGCAACGCCCCATTGCACTGCGGCGAAAGGTTCCGCTGTGGGTTTTAGTGAGTAGGAGTCTCACAGTACCTTGTCCGTTATACCGGCGGGCAGGATCCCTATGATGGGTTTCCCCAGCGACAACAAAAAAAAAGGATATAAGGTACGACCAAGCAAAATTTCATTTAAATCGGTCCAACAGTTTAGGAGATTAGCCCGTACAAACAGACAAACACACAGAGAATCAAGAAAATTGAAAAAATCTGGATTTGTTCTATTTTTCTTCTTACTGGATGTAAGAAGATAACTGACTCGGTTTTTAGCATTTTTTTTCTATGTACAGACATTCGACCTCTACTGTTTTATTATAGTATATATAAAAAATAATAACTTATACACCAAAAATTATATTTTCCCTTTGAAAATAATAAAACTTTGGAACAACACTAGAATCTTCTCTTCTCTAAGCTGTTCAATTTAATTAAATAAAATCAATTAATTAAAAAAAAAAACTAAACAGATAAAAAAGCGTGACAAACCTAATTTATAAATAAAATCGAACGTGCGTCGCCGCCGTTTATGGCAAATTAATTACACGACGCCACCGCCAGTAGCTGACGGAGTGACGGGCTCTCAAAGGTACGGTGTTATTACTTCATGCATATAAAGCGATAATAACTGCTACCGACTGTGTACCTATGTAAGATTGTATGTACGTATCCATTGTATACACGAATATCTATTATATATTAAATATTTTTTTGTATTTGTACTTTGTAGTATAATACGAATATAATACATAGAATTACATACTATAATTATTATGTATGTCTACTTACTATTTTTAAAACTCGAATGGCTTGTTTATTATTGAAATATCGTTTGTATAGATAGAGCTAAACATCCCATTTCTGATTCATTTATTTTGTAATATTATCACTTATAGTAAAAAGACCTCAGATGATTAGATCTATAGATCCAAAATCGTACTGTATGAGAACTTCTGTAATATTATAATATTACGGAAGTTCTCATACAGTACGATTTTTTCCGATGTAATAGGTAAACATCGTCATACCCGGTAGCTTATATTCACAATATGTTTTATATCTTCATAATAATGAAAACCGTAGGGAAATCTGTACAGTAGTACTGAGAATAGTCCGAAATAAACACAAATTTAGCGTAGCGAGGTACTTTATATTATGTAGTTATAACATAATTAGATATTTCGATAGCTTGAAAAAATTAGGCATAATAGCTAGATACGAAATTAGTTACGCAGAATATCTTAAATTATTCTTGATCATATTTAGAAAAATATAATATATCGTTATTTGTAAAAAAAAAGAATATTTAATTGTTTATTCTACAACTTTCTCTTATAACTCAACCAAATATATAGTTATTAAACTGTAGACATGTATATGTGATTAACCTAAGCTTTATTTTATGTTCTCCATAGTCAAGTAATAAATAATCTCTCGGATGAAGCGACCTCCATCATCCCACTGTCATATGTCATGTCACTCGAAATTCAAATTCAAATTAATTAAAATGTCACAGAACAAAGGGCAATTAGACGTGCCGGTGCGGTGGTGGAAACGCGGTATCAAATGAAACATCTTAGCGAACATCGGCGGCGCCTTTCATGTGCCTCCCTTCGCTTTGATCGCGCCGCGCCGACAATCCGCCTCACTACTTATCGACTCAGATTTATTGTGATTCGGACTGGAGGCTGAGCGGGAATCGCACTACAGACGGTGCTACTCTCGTATTGGCTTCCGATAGTTATTCACGGCGTGTGGACTGTCACCGGCAAAAGTGCTTCGACACTAATTAGCCGCGCGCCCGCACGTGTCCCCTGCAGTTTGCTCTACTTTCAGTACCGGTTTTAAAGGTGGACGTTAGATTAAATCGATTGGAAATAGAATAAACATGAGAATCGATAATGCATTTAAAATTTTAATTAGAATTACTTATATGTTAACTGCTCTTAAAATATTGAAAATTATTCTCAATACCTGCATTATAAGTAGGTACAAGAAACATGTTGTTTTCTTAACATATAATAAATTAATATGCTAAATTTTAATGAAGGGAAAACATTACAACTTAATTATTTTTATTTTGTTATCCATTCCTAATTTCAACTGTCGGTGGATGTTGGATGTTTTACCTAGTTTAATGACATAAAATATTTTACGTGATAACAACAAAAAGATTAATGAAATTTTTTACAGTGGTCTTTACGCAATGTAGACGAGTGTACTCAAAGCGTCATGGGGAATGACGATTATATTTTTTGCCCAAACGCGGTCGGTAGCTGCGCCCGCGCCGGTAGCGAGTTCAGTAAAACGATTGTACTATTATTGCTCGTTCTTATGTGAATTGACTATGGATTCAAGATTTGCGCTGTATCTCGGCTTGTAATATTAAATAGTTATCTGGAATCTAGTCTAGACTGCATAAGTAATACAAATATTTAACATATTTATAAGATTTAATTGTTATTGATACTTAACTGCTGTGTTTCTTACTTACTTATGTTGTTTAATACATTATGTTTTAGAAAAATACATAGCTTTATATATCATGCTGATAAACGTTGAAGAACTTTTACGCTTGAATATACATTAAACGGTATTTTTCTCGTAACATTTTTATTATGGACAACAAATATTACAAGATGTAATAATGGTCATATGGCTCGCTTTAAAGGTTGTACCGTAACTCATTTCAAAGTATCCTGTTTACTGCCTCTAATAAATTAATAAGACCCTATTAAAGGAGCGCACAAAAAACTTTTGTTAAGCTTATTGTTATGGAAAACGAGCTGTATAATAGTCTTCTATATTAAAGAGCTTTTAAAAAGACCGTTCCGACTAAGTCATAATGGGATTGAATAATAAGCCATAAAGAATTTGAATGATCTAAATGGTTTATTCTTCCGCTCTGTTTGAGAGTAGTAGCGCGCATTTCTTTTAGATGTCCTGATTTATTATACGAATAGCTAGATGCTATATCGGCAGTCGATAAAATAAGTTTAATGAGACCGAGTCGTATATCAGAGTCGGCATCATAAAGGTGGGTACCAACTGTCAAAGGGCTCATTGTGGCGGCTTTGCTTTATGATGGCATTTTTACAGGCAGGTACAGGCTTTGACCGCTTGCCGAGCCGCCTGCCAATTATATTCTACTTAGTTCTGTATTCACATTCCTCCATCTGATCTACGGATAAGTCTTACTCTACGCACTTCTTGTAAAGCAGGCCCCATCAATGAAACCATAATATAAACATATCTGTATGAAGACAGAGTGTAAATGGTTGACCCTTTTTTGTGATGGTAATTATGATAGAGAAATAGAGGAAATCATTTAGATGGTCAAAAGATAAATGGTTACAACAATTTTGAAATGTTCAGGGAAAATATAATTAACTATTTTAAAGGAAGACATAAAAGTAAATACTTTATGCGATGTAATGAAACTGAGAGCAAATAAGTGCTCAAATAATCTTGAGGTTCTTGCAGTGTCTTTTCATCTCTTTCCAACACTGTGACGTTTTATGACTTTAAAACGACTTTGGATAAAGTAAGGATGAAAATATTTAAAAAAAGTCTTGTGTGTACATAGCGCAGTTTATGTGGTGCGAAAAAGCGCGAATTCCAAGCGTGAAGCGTGAGGGCGCAGGCGGTAAGTCGCAACGCATAGTGGCGACAGGTGCGTCCATGGGGGGTGCGCACTAGGGTTGCGAGGGGAGGGGCGAGCCGGCACGGCGCCCGCGCAGCTCGCGTGGCCCACTCGCCTGAGTCACGCGCGCTCTGTAATGCTTGCATAATAATAATGACGGATGCCGATCGCGCGGCGGCCCCTTTGATCTGCGGCGCTTTTGATCTCGCCGCCAGAGCCGGTCCCGCCGCCCCTGTCTCACAAACGAGCCGCCCGCCTCCTACCTTTATTCGGTTGGACGCCGCGCGACGAGGCGGCCCTTCGCCCTCGCTCTAAATAGAGGCTTTATTTTGTAAACAGGGAGCTAGCTACCGTGAGCAGCGCGCGAGAGTCGCGCGGGTGACTGTCTTCGGTGTGCCAAGCGGCAAGCCAGTGGTGCTTGAGCGGTGGCCAGTATGGGGTGTGCTCACTGCGGTCGCACGCCGCGCTTTCCTACCAGCCGTCAGTGATGTATGCCAGCCGTGGCCACTGCCGCCCCTACTGGCTCACATGGACCTTATGTGTACGTCATGTTTATTTTATCTGTGCTATCATAGTTTTTTTTGTAGTTTCGGGAATAGGTACGGTGTTGCGTAACATGTGTTTTGTTTTGATCAACTAATTTGTGTTTGTTTTGTACAAATTGTTTGATACGATTTGATATTTTAATGTTAAAATTTTATTTGATTTCAGTTAGCAAAATGTTGTGTCGTATATATCTACTCATATTGTAGTGTGGTAACGGTATTGGAAGTAAAAAACAAATGAACATATACTATGAAATAGAGCGCGAAGACAATAAGTCTATTTTTTTTCATTATTATATATGGGGAATTTTAGTTTATTTCTTATATTGTTAATTAATTTCAATAAAGTTATAAATATTACGTTGAAGTTGGACATACTCGTATAATAATTCTCGGCTTAATAGAAACGTGAAATATGAGCACTATTAAATTAACATTGTTATTGTGCAACCATTGCAGCGTTAGTAGAAAATGCATATAATTTACTTTCCGATTAAGTACATAGTTACATGTAAATTGTGGGTCGCCACAAACGAACAGTCCGAATGTCATCTAAGAGTACGCGAAAGCTTTCTATTCCTAATTAAGTTTGTCTCTACTTTACATTTAGACTTTAATATAATGTATTGATAAGAAACAATTTCTTATAGCATTTGATAACTTATCCAGCAGTTACGTTATTGAAATTAGTGATTTAGTTAAAATTGTCTACAGTGGATTTTTCATTTATATAATACTAGCATTGCCCGCGGCTCCGCCCGCTTTCAGATGACAAAAAACCAAATTCTTAGGTTTTACATATTGGTAGACTCTTACATTGCAGTTGTTATATTTTTTCTCAGAAATGAGATATTTTCCCGCGATAAAAATTATCCTATATATTGACCTGGATAACCAGTTATCATTATACCAAATTTCATAAAAATCCCTCCAGTGGTTTTCCCGTGATGCGGTAACAGACAGACAAACAGATAAAAATTCTAAAAACTATAGATTCGGCCTTTGTATCGATAATAATGTCTATTTCAATAAGATTTTCCAAAAAATATTTAATGTACAGATTCGGCTTAGTTAGACTTTTATTATATGTACCTATAGACTAGCGACTCACCCTCGCTTCGCTCGGGTTCTTCCCTAGCTTGATTCCCCATACAAACTTTCATCCCTTTTTTCACCCCACTTACGGCATGATTTCCATTTTCCAGGATAAAAAGTAACCTATGTCCTTCCCAGGGCCTTAAACTATCTTCTTACCAAATTTCATCTAAATCGGTTCAGTACAATGTCACAACTCACAATCTCACAAACTTTAACTCTTAATAATGTTATAATACAGATTATAACAGACGATAAGTTAACGTAATGTGTGATATCTAGTCTATTACGCATTTTGCTAAGTTTACACAACCTTGATAAATTATGAAGCATCATATTCTTATATGTAACGATATTTTATTATTAGAATATATGAAAAATATAAGGAAATTAGCATTTTGTACCATATTCAAAGCAAAAATGAGGAACGTTATTATTTCAGTTAAATAACTTATTGAATTCAAAATTTTATTGGCCACATGTTATTGTTTATTACCATAGTTATTGTTTTGTATTTCAACAAAATTGTGATATATGCTATCTATATTGAAAATATTGTTTGAAAAGTGAAAATTAATGTTTTTTGACGAGAATTTGTTAGGAAACAGAGAGGTTAGAACAAAACATTGGGCGAGGTGATTGAAAATTAAATTCGTTTCGTTTCTTTCAGTTTAGAATTTCTTTTATGAATCCGAGGTTTAATTTTTTTATTTAGAATGTAAACATTCTATTGGATAAGAGTACTTTTATTCACTTTTTTTCGTGTATTTGTGTTCATTGACCAGCCTTTTTACCTTAGTTTTTCTATCTCGTTTTTAAAAAATTGAATGTTTTTTTTAATATAATATCTTTTTTTTAATATGTTAAATAGAGCACAATTACTATGTAATGGATTCATGATATTCCATATAGAGACATGTGTGGTAGTATTCATGTATAGATATATCTTAACCCTTAAAGGGTCATGCACATGTGTAACTGTCTCTCTGTCGTACAGTCATATTAGAAATAGTTGACAGATGATTGACAGCTGTTAAAATAAACAAATGATTTTCGATGTAAGCAGTATTTCCTGTTTTTTTACTTTCGTAAATAAATTAATTTATCCGATTTCCAAAAATAAAGATACACTTGGACAGTTTGTATTTAATACTAATAGAGATCTCTTAGTTCCCACGGGAACCGTTCATTTTTCCGGGATAAAAAGTAACCTGTTGTATGACTGGCAATATAAGATATCAGAATGTTAAATTTTACTAAATGAGGTGCATAAGTTGCTTTGTACTAAGCTGTATAAGATACTATAGTTTTTTAACTATTCCACGGGAACTTTTTAATTTTCTGGGATAAAAAGTATCTAAGATGTTGACTGGGGATATAACGTACCACCATGCAAAATTTCATTTAAATCGGTCTAACAGTTTCGGGGATTAGCCCATACAAACATACAAACAGACAAACAGACATACAGGCAAACAGACAATTTTTTTAATAACTATTGTTTTGGGGTCTATATTGTGTACATAATATGTTACAAACAAAAACTAATCTATCCCACGGAAACCGTTCATTTTTCCGGGATGAAAAGTAACCTGTTGTTTGACCGGCAATATAACCATCATAGGTATCAGCATGCCAAATTTTTACTAAATTAGGTGCATAAGTTGTTGTGTACTAAGCTGTATAAGTTACTATAGTTTTTTAACTATCCCACGGGAACTTTTTAATTTTCCGGGATGAAACGTATCTAAAATGTTGCCCGGGAATATAAGGTAACACCATATAACATTTCATTTAAATCAGTCCAACAGTTTCGGGGATTAGCCCGTACAAACATACAAACAGACAAACTGACAAACAGACATACAGGCAAACAGACATACATGCAAACAGACATACAGGCAAACAGACAAATTTTTTAATAACTATTGTTTTGGGGTCTATATTGTGTACATAATACGTTACAAGCAAAAACTAATCTATCTCACGGAAACTGATCATTTTTCCGGGATGAAAAGGAACCTGTTGTTTGACCGGCAATATGAGGTATAATATGCCCAATTTTTACTAAATTAGGTGCATAAGTTGTTGTGTACTAAGCTGTATAAGTTGCTATAGATTTTTAACTATCCCACGGAAACTATTTAATTTTCCGGGATAAAACGTATCTAAGATGTTGCCCGGGGATATAAGGTACCAAAAAATAAAATTTCATTTAAATCGGTCTAATGGATTCGGAGATTAGCTCGTACAAACAGACAGACAGAGAAACAAAAAAATTGAAAAAAATCTGGATTTTTTCTATTTGTCTTCTTACATCGCCCTGACTCGGTTTTTAGCATTTTTTTGCTCTGTACACACATTCGACCTCTACTGTTTTATTATAGTATAGAATAGATTTGTATAATAAAAATAATTTTAAAACGCGGACTTCCAAAAAACTAAATTAATACAAAACAAACATTTCATTAGAATAAAAAAGCTACTAATAGTAATTTCTACTATAATTAATTATTAATGAACTTTATATTAATGAAATTTATATTTTAAATTATAATACAAGTAAATTAAGCTCTGATACCACTATATAGAAAATTTCTTAACAGTTACACATAAATACTATACAAAATCATATGTACCTATACCTACGTAAAATGATGTTTACATATCTAGTATAAAGATAGTATCTAGATATTTACTATTTATTTACCTAATAGGAAAATATTATAGTGGATGAAAATTGGACATTATCATTATTGTTTTCATTTAAAGAAAAAAAAAACAAAACGTATCTTCATCTACATACATGAGAGTCCGTTCTACATAATATGACAATTTTTTATCTACGGTATTCCAGATATAGTAAACAACCGGTTTTATATCTAAATGAGATCTTAGTTCTGTTTTATAAACCTTAGGATTTATAAGATGATTAAAATGTAATTTAACATACCTATCATGAGATATCACAGTTTTAATCATACGAGCATCCTAACATTCAATTTACGCCCGCTGTGCTAAAACATAACTGTGTTAGTTATTTGTATCAGTAAAATTTTAATGGGTGGAGTATTTTACGAGTTTTGTTGAGCTATAAAAATCATGCCGTTAAATAGTTTATTCGGGGCTAAATCCAGGATCATTTTGTTACAATTATTATTAATACCTTGTATTTATTATTTAGTAATATTTTAAAATTTTATATGTAAAATATTTTATATGTAAAATATCTAACTATATCATTTTAGCTTTAGCAATGTTTACGTGTGTATTTTATTTTTCTGTGTAGTGTATTCTGTATTCTTCTAACCGCACTTAATGTTTCTTACCTCGTTCATTTAGTGGCTATTCTGCTGGTACGAGGGTACTGAGGCTACTGAGGATTGGCTAAATCTCAGTAGCAACCCATTGTTCAGAAGTTTGTTGTGTTACACTAGTGCCCCTTCGGTATTCTCAGCTGGACGTTACCTAAGAGGAACATAAGAGTGACGGGATAGAGCGGTCATCTAAACTTGCGTATATACGGATTACTGTAGTATCTCCTGCGCTGATAGTTACCCGCAATGAATTTAGTCATCTTGAACAAAAACTGATTTGGACTCACAACATTTATTAAAAGCTTAGAAGATTAATATGTAAATAATCTAAGATTCAAAGTATAATTTATTTTTTCAGTTGGTGATAATCGCGGCCTGTGAGAGTGCAGCCTTTCCGGATAGTTTGAGACTTGTATGGTTGTCGAACACTTCTCTTACTTGCAATGATGGAACACCCGCGGGGTAATTTCATTTGAATAATTAATGTCTATTTTTTGTTTGCGGTTATATTTTATGCAAATTTATGTTATCCAATAAAAGATTAAAATGTTAAATTATTGGCGGCACTTCAAACACACATCTTTCGCTAATAATAGTACCCCTGGTGGGATTTTGTTTCGCACAATGTCATCGTATCATATTATTAATAAAGATTATGTTATTATTCTTTCGGCATGAAAACAGTTTTTTTTATAAAAGGGAGCACTGAAGGCATAAGTTTATTTTTAAAATAATATTTTTCTTTAGAATCGAATAATTTATTTACTTTAAGTAAGTCAAAAGTGTCAATAAGACTAATAACTAACAGGTAATAAAATTATAGAAAGGCTAGTGGGCCGCACTTTCTTTAAACCTTTTTCCTAACCATACCACACCCCCTTACGCCTTTCAGTAAAATTATCACTTCACTATTGTTGCACAGGAACCACTATTCTAGGCTACAATGTTACTTATATACATAAACATCCAAAGATTATACATATTTACACAAATTTTGTGTATTGCAGATATTATTTTCGACGTGGAAACAACAACCATCATTGGGTGGTGTACTTGGAAGGCGGTGGTTATTGTTGGGATAAGATATCATGTAACGCACGCTGGCGACGCAGGCCCGGTCTCATGTCGTCCTCACGGTGGCCTAGAGCACGCCGCGCACCGGCTTTGCTCTCCAGTGACCCGCAAGCAAATCCACTCTGGCACGCATCTAACCACGTCTTACTGCCATACTGTTCAAGTGATATGTGGACAGGCTCGCGCACACATCGAACTCTCAATACGAGTTTTGCCTTTTCTGGACGGCTTATCGTGCGATCAGTCCTCAACGAACTTTTTCAGTATGGACTTAGCGGCCGACTCCTGCTCGTCGGTTCAAGCGCTGGGGGAACGGGAGTTATGCTTCACGCTGACGCAGCGAGGAGAAGTCTTCGAACGCATGGCATACGGGTCGCGGCTATCGCAGACTCTGGCTGGTTTTTGGACCGGCCTTCGAAAGCAAGACGAGCATCTTCCGCATATAACATCGCCAGGTTAGGACATTCGTTATGGCAAGGATCACCACCGACGTCATGCGTCCGGGAGTATCGGGATAAACCATGGCTATGTTATTTTGGATATCGTTTATATCCACATATACGAACACCGCTATTTGTTTTTCAGTACCTTTTTGACTCAGCACAATTGACGGCTGAAGGGGTTCGAGCTCCACGGACAAGAGCTCAATGGGATGCCGTCCACGAGATGGGATCGGCTATAAGGGCCAGTCTTAAGAATGTGCGTTCTACTTTTGCGCCGGCGTGCATCGCTCACGGCGCGCTTGCTCGACCAGAGTGGTTGTCAATTAATGTGTCAGGCGTGTCATTACCGCGAGCTATATCGTGCTGGGAGAGGCGGTTTAATAACGGTAGTAAACGGGAGCGCGCTAGATGTGCACCGCGAAGACTGATAGAGCGGTGTTCGTGGCCTCAATGTAATGGATCGTGTCCTCGGTTACGGGACCCTCGCACAGGGGAAGAAGTTGCTTTAGCGGCGTTGTTGCAGAGTTTTGGTCTCGATGTTCGAGGTGCTGCAGCCGCGATGGGTCTCGACGCTCGCGCTCTATCACGCATGAGCCGGGCAGAGCTACTGCCCTTGTTGGCTCCGCATACGTGATAAAACTTACGACTGTTGTGCTTAACTGCACAGTTAATCTACCTCGTTTTTTGCAGTACAATTATTATTATTAATACTTAGATATTATTTATTGTAATAGATAATATAAGTAAAAATTTAAGCTTATTTACTGTTTCTTTTTGTTATTTGACAGTTATATTAAGTGAAATATCTCATTATAATTATAGCTTTATATATTTGTCTATGTCAACGTCTAAATAATAGTCTTTTACCGTTCTGTTCTTCTATTAAATAATACAATATCTTTTGGTTGAATTAGAATGTAAGATAACTTGCATTTTAATTTCTACATATGTTAATTATATATTGACAATTATAAGACGTCAATATCTGTATAATGGGATTTGTGCAGTTCTTAAGTACGGCGTCTTGCGTTTAAAGATATTTTGCTTTTCCTTTAGGAATATTGTAGAAAAATGGCATCATACCTTCTCTGAATTCAATTCTGAAAAGTTCTGGTTTATTTTGTAACACTTGACACATTTACATGAATTACTATTAGCCTGCCTTGCTGGTAACAGCCATCACGTAAGGTTGTAGATTATGATTTTTTGGGTTTAAGTATCATGTTTAAGACACGATGATTTTTTGTCAAGAAAATAATAGCAGTACTTGAATTCGTGCAACCTGCGCCTTATCTCTCACTGGTCATAGATAACGAAAGTAATTGTATTAGCGGGAACCTTGATGCCTAGCGGTGTCAATAATAAATAAATACACAATATATTATAAAAAAAACCCGACTGCATAATAACTAACTAATAAAAACTTTTTAACAAAAAAATAAAACCGACTTCACAAAAAAGCACTAAAAAGTAAAAAATAACTGATTGGTAGTTTTCATTTACTATACATACCTAATCAAATATTTTCGAAGTCGGTGTGCTTTGCTTTGTATGGGCTGGCACCGATTTCGAAAATATTTGATTAGGTATGTATTTAATAGGTAGGCTTTAATTACTTAGCCAAAGCACACCGATTTCGAAAATATTTGATTAGGTATGTATAGTAAATGAAAACTACCAATCAGTTATTTTTTACTTTTTAGTGCTTTTTTTTGAAGTCGGTTTTTATTTTTTTGTTAAAAAGTTTTTATTTTTCCCTTTTTAGTGTAGACAGTAGTAGCAAAGTAAGGATTCTAATGTGTTAGGCTTGTCAAATCAAACAAAATAAGCCCAAACTCAAAGTATCTACTATTAGCCGTTGAAGAGTTCCACCTATCCACCTTCTGGCCTTGCCATCAGATCAGGTCAACAACACCGAACCACTGTACTATCAACGGAAATAGAAATACTTGCAAAGTTTCAAGTCAATATGACAATTATAAGTAGGTTAAATTCATCATTAGTTGTTTTTCCACCCTTAGGGGTGGTATTTTTTTTTGAAATTTAAATGGGACCAATCTGGAAGTATACCCTTTCAAACAAAACTAAAATTGTCCAAATCGGTTAATAAATGACGGAGTTCTGAGGTAACAAACATAAAAAAAAAAACATACAGTCGAATTGAGAACCTCCTCCTTTTTGAAGTCGGTTGAAAAGATGAAAACAAGTTCACGAAGGAATATAGTATTATGCACTCGGAGGCATACACGTTTCATCCTTGCCGCGAGATGTATGTAGGTAGGTACTTACTCGTATGTATGTTTCCTACTATATTCTTTCGTGAACTTGTTTTCATGTTTTTAGTTACTTTTTATGCAGCCGGGTTTTTTATTTTTATAATACATTTTTTTTCCGGTTTTTAAGTATTTTTAAGTAGGCAAATTAGCGAGAATGGTTGTTAACCAACTTTAAGTCATTATATATCCTAAACTGTTATTTAAAATGAAAAATGATGAAAGAAACCTAAAAATTACTTTTAAATACCTATTCAACGATACCCCCGTACTGGACATAGTTCGTCGATTTTCCTTTTTTTCACATTATGGCGTCCTAAATCGGCAATTTTGAGTTTTTCCAAATTTTTGTGCTTTTTATGACATTCGCGCTGTCATGAGGAATCAAATGACGTGTCATTAATTAAAATCGGGCCACGCGTTTAGTCTAAATAGTGCCATAAAGATACAAGCCCACATATAAGTACATACATACATATAGGTATACATACAAAGGCTGATTAACACATTACCCTCCTTTGCGTCGCGCAGTCGGGTAAAAATGGCCGCTGTAACCGAAAGTCTTTCAGGAGGACATTATTTACATTATGTAGTTATGTTATAGCACGGTAATATTACATATTACATTACCGTGGTTATAGTATAATTATAAATCTTTCATTTTTTAAAGGTATTTAAATAATAGTAGCCATATCGTTTAGTAGGTACTTAAGTGGTAAATAAGATAAACCCGTATGTAATGATATATTTAATTTTGGTATTAGTAAAGTTAAATGTTTCTTAACAAGTAACAATGGACTAGTTCACACTTACTAACATTAAAAAAAATAAAACTAACAATATCTCACTTTTGTCTGCCTTAATATTATGGGAATGGAAGGCAGTAGTATAAAGTATACAAATAATCTTATACCAATTGGTTAAGTAAGTGAAGGCGACGAAGCGTTTTGTAGCGAGTACGGTGGTGCTCAGTAAGTTTGAAACCAGGAGAGCGTCGTCCCCACGTTTTGACTGGCTGCTGTTTGTTAACGACTATACCGCCGCTTCGGAGGCGACCGATTTGTCATAATCGATTAGATCGCTCCACACTAAGCATTATCGAGACATCAATAACATCGTTACCAAGGAAGAAATCTGATGATACAATGTTTGCATTTTGACGCCATCGAGATATAAGTCGAGCTGTTACGTTTCTATTAACGTCATCTGCGTTTTCACGTATAGATCCTCGAAGGAAGAGTATATCTAGAACAGTGGGTGTAGTTTGCGCCATTGCAGAGAACAAGGGCGAGCGTGCTGATGGTAGTGGGGAGGTTTCGATCATTCTATCTAAATAGTGGAAAAGCTCGGTGGGTTTGTTTGTGTTAGCCCAGAGATGAGGTAGTATAGGCCACAACCACCTATTTGCTGCAAAAAAATAAAATATATGTATATATATTTTTTAATAAAACTAATTTTCTGCTTATATACGACTTAAATGATAAACAAGCGTTTACCCTATTTGGGAATCGAACCCGCAACCTCCATCGTAGAAGTTGTTCCAGTCAAATATACGCTCTATTAAGCCAAATGAATAAATTAGTTGTATATTTTAGTAAAAATTTAGGTCTATTTCATTTTAATTCACATTAAATAGTTCGGAGTACAAAATAATGTATGTATATAAATACATTCTACATTATAGAATGATACGAGATTTAGAAGTCAATAAAAGACATGACCCTACTATGTATCATACTCGTAGCTAATGCTAAGCTTTGCAGTGTGCAAACGTTGAATACCAGACACACTAAGGTCTTAAGTACTGTATCAAACGCAGACCGTCTGCGATTAAGAACTAAGAGAGCTCATTTGTGACATCAACAATGTAGAAAAAAATAAAGGGAATTTCAACCGTTTTGTTACTTGTTGAAAATCTAGTTACAAACAATTGCTCTGCCGTGCATTGTATGTCTTTCAACATTTTATACATAAAATAATTTCTTATTTTCGATGGCAATGTTGAAACGAAAAATTGTGCAGAAAAATTTAGGCGCTTCATTTTTTATTTAGCTATTGGAGTCAAATATTAGATCTACGTATTCCAAAACACAAATGCCTAGAAAAATTTGATGCCTTGTTACCTATGCATGAATATTTAAAGAAAAAATGAACTGTTACATTTTATAACAAATTTGAATTCGTATAAAATAATATATACCTATTCGTAAACACGTATGCAGATCACGTAAGAAGTCATCTCAGGTTTCTCGCTTAGTTTCCTATGTCCTAACTGTACAAAGTTTGCGTATAATCACTTTAGCATTTGTTTTTCAGCTAAACAAAGCTTCTTTGTATTATAAATGGAACATTTACAATGTCTGAACTTAATTTGTTTGTTCTGCTTAGAAATCTTAAGAAAATTCATTAGTATATTTATTATGTCTATTATTTCTTTTTCATCAACCTATTATAAAACACGAAGCGTAAGAACAACCTATGGTTCCGGGCGAATAATCAACGAAATTAAAAACATCGTTATCCGACAGTTTCTATTCGCTAAGAGAATTTTCAAACAAACTTTGTTGCTTATCCTGTGAAAATTTTTTGAATTCTAAAATATAAAATCCTTACCCAACCCCTCTGATCCGTAAAATTCAGTTTTATTTGAAACGCTGTCTCTTAGCGCTATTAATACAACACCATCACGTTCAAAAGCATATAATATAAACTATGCTCATATTATAAACTAGCTAAACTTTTTTGATTTAGCTATCGAAAAATATTGTTGCCTATATAAAGTTTGCCAATCCTTTTCACCTCTTTAAGGGTTATAATCCTTTTATAAAAGTTGCTTATATCATAATGAAAAAAGGTTCTCAATATGTCAACCCTTTAGAACCAGGCATGAAAAGCTCATAATAATCGGACTACTATTATAAATGCGAAAGTTTGTATGTGTACATTTGTTACTCCTTCACGCTAAAACGACTGGACGGATTTGGATAAAATTCAGTACCCAAGTAGAATATAACCTAAGAGTAACACAAGTTATTATAAGGCGCCTACTACTTAAGTAAAGCGAGTGTACGCCGCTAGTATCTATATTATCCAATCTAATCTAATAGAGGAAGAGCCCGTGAACGCCAGACCTTCGTCACCTTATAAAGGCTGAAAGTTTGTCAGCGCATGCTCCCAACACAGATAAGAACGATGGACCATTATGAAGTACAGGCTATGGTGGCTTTGGCAGGTACACGGTACTAAAGTTATGTAAAATACCGATCTAACTTCGTCTAATAATAAAGTGTGATTTTTTGGTATTACTAATAAATGCTATGCTAGCAGTCTTATAAATCATCTAATTATTACCCAAGTATTATATATAAAAATTAGCTTTTATACTATAACGTAAGTAGAATTATGATTTCATGAAAAGGGTGTCTGGCAAGGGTTTGCCACGATGTTAAGTGTCTGGCATTGAATGACGTGATTTTTAATAATATTCTGAAGGTAATACCAAAAAATCACACATTATTATTTGACGAATTTAGATCGGTATTTTACACAGCTTTAGTACCGTGTATCTGCCAAAGCCACCATAGCCTGAACTTCATAATGGTCCATCGTTCTTATCTGTGTTGGGAGCATGCGCTGAAAACTTTCAACTTTTATAAAATGACGAAGGTCTGGCGTTCACAGGCTCTTAGGCCATAATTTTAAGTTACAAAATATAATATTTACCCAAAACAATATTATTGTCTACGTAACTAAATAAGAGACGTTTGTCTGCGTCAATCAGAGTTTGAAGAGTTGGTCCCCTCGTGCCAGGGCCGGTGTGAAATTGCGAAGCGGGCGCTAAGTGAGGACCTAATTCCCGTTGAACTAATTTTAGTAAACCATTATGGACTTCCTGTATAGGGGCTCCGGTTTGATGGTAGAAGCCCATAGGGAAGTGGTGGGCGTCTAAGAACACTATCTGGAAGCAAATTTTATTATAGTATAATATACAACACCTATGTTGTATGGATTAAGAAAAGTTACTTTTTACAGAAAATTCTAATTTAAAGTCAAATTAGTAATTAATACCAAATACACTCTTTACATTTTTAATATAGAAATAAATTATGAATATAATACGTAATTTAACAAAAATATTATATTTACATACCTCTTTAGTACTGTCAAGGAAAGCTCTGATTTCTCTTAACAAAGGAACTAGGGGACGGACACGAATTAAATTGTGATTCAACCAATATCTGAAAAATAAATTGATTTTTTAATTATAAATGTACATATTTTATTTAAATTTGATCAAATAAGTAAGTAAATACTTAAAATATTCGAATCACAAAGTGCAAATTAATGAGCGCGCCGTGGTGAAGTAAAAAAGACGTGACTCTGTTACTATATTCTCAACAATACCTAATTCAAAGTTTTGTTGATATTTTATAGCGCGACTTCGTTTGCGTACAATTCTATGGACAAATTATCATGTTTTATAATTTTTTTGGTTCCTGGGTAGGAATGAATGTGGTAAAAATAGAATTTCTCGACTCTTGTGATCGTGGGATACAAATTGTTACATATGGATGCAAAAACCTTGAAAAAAATATTGAATTACAGATTCATTATAGCTATTAGTATAGTAAAATAGTAGTTGTGACGTACATCTAGAATTATTCTTTCACCTGGAGAATAAATAGGGTATTAATATTTTTAAAGAAAATGTAAACAATAATGTTTCGAAATTTAACACAAATTCCAAATATCTCTCTATAAATCACTGTTATTGCTATACGTTGGCCAATAGGACAAGCGAAGCGCGACTGACTACTTGACCGCGCTTCTCACGTAACACTTGCATTTGTATTCTTCGCAATCACTGCGAATTTGAGCAGTACGATATCGTGGCCTTAAGTTTTAGCGGAAGGAAACTTTGTATCTTACAATACATTGTAAGGGCTAATTTCTACGTAAGGACTATTAAATAAGAGAATCGTGGTCAAAAACGTGGGGTAAAATGTCCGAAGAGAAGGTTTTGTGGTTAATATTTGATATTTGATAATGAATATCTTTATGCTTTTTCCTTGTAGTAAAAAATAGTACCTAACTATAGACGTCGTATGTTGCTTTCCGCCAATATCTTTATAATAATAATAAAAAGTTTGTTTGTCAGAACGTAATTTACATGTTGTATGGTCAAAAAATGCAAATCCAGAATTACTTATAATAATACCACTACAATTACTAAAAGGTGAAAAATAGTATAAATTTTCAATTTAATCAAAACAAGGAAATAAACTATGCATGTATCTATATACATATGTTTTACATTAAAATTGTTTATATGGTAAAGGCACAGAAATCTTAATAATAAGATTTCTGTGGGTAAAGGTAAATATTAAAACATTAGCATCAAACATTGACTTTCATTGTCTTGATAATAATCGTACAACGCAATTGATTTATTATGCTAGACATTATACGCGTATGAAACAATCTATGTAATATAAAAACGTAAAGAAAATTTATTTCTATGTAACTTATAATTGCTGAAAAGATTACGTGTAGCTGGATATTTATGTTCAGCTTATACTTTGGAGTCACCTGCGCTGTTATATTCAAACCAACCATCGATATACCATTATTTTATATAAGCATTCTACCCTGTACTGTGTTATTATAAAATATACGTACCTACATATACAGGGGTATTGGTAATTCGACGTATTCCCGTTAGGAGGTGATAGGGGTGACTATTTGCGATAATTTTAACCCCCATACCTATGCATTATGCAAAAGTGAACCATTTTTGAGTTATCATGTTTTTTAGCTACATTGGTACATTTATTTAGAAAAAATATAGTTGGCTCTTTCTACACTAAAATGGTCTATACTCGTAGTTTACAAAATTATTTAGCAATTAGAGCAATCTTACTTACAACCTTTAGTGAATATGATAATTGAGTAGTTGGTGGTTGTGTACATACCTACCTAATATGTATAATGTGGTATAGTGCGTTAGGTCTTGTTTACATTTTTGCAATTACTATAAAAAATGTTTACAAAACATAGCATTTATGAAAATGTGTTTTCATTATTGTACAAAACTATAATATCGTTAATATATCTTTAACAGCTTCATTTATTATTTTCTTCGGCGGACGGAGTGGCCGTTTTCATTACAAATATTGAGGAAATCTATGCAATTATAAAGCGTTTCAAGGAAGGATTATTACTTAATAATTTCCAAATTATGTTCTTCTTATTGTTGTTATTTGTTTTAGTATTGCTTGATTGGTTTGGTAGTACTTATCATGTGGTAAAGTTTATAGTTTTTTAGATCCTGGGTTCGAATTCTGGGTGGGATTCCTAATAGTTATTGGTTTTTCAATCAAGACATTTTCATTAGCAGCATAGTTGTTTTTTTTTTGGTATAATACCCCTTTAGAAGGCTTATGCACGTAAAGATGTCGGTCTTATATTTGCTCACACTTCTACATTATAATATATGCCGCATAGTTCGGCGTACCGTTAAATTGGTATTATTATTATGTGCACATGGTTTAATATATATAATATTTAACAAAATTTTAACTCAGATTGTCGATATGTATGTACGAGTATATTACAACATAAAGTTTCCATTTTGATATCAAAGATTTCTTACTAAATTCGCCAATTCGCCCAATTTTCAGTATGATTAACAAGTCTATGTTGAAACTTTAACTTTGTTCTTTCATATATTGACACACAGATACCCACCTATCTTCTTCCCTGGGATAGAAATCATAATAAGCGATCCTGAAGTCGAAGTATCTAATTCCATGGACCAATTGAGCCCAAATAGAGCGATCCTGGCATAGAACAAAGTTGTCACGACCAACATTACTGATTTCAGTATCAAAATGCCACGCGCCCGCGTTGTGTGTGCCTGGGATTGCCAGCTCGCCTATACGAAGCTTATTTATTGTATTCCTGTGAATGAATAATTTTGGGTTAATTCTTTTTGAGAATTTCGGATTTGGATTTCATTATGTTTTAAATTTCCACGCAATATTTCTCAAATGTTTTCGTTCTCTAGTCTACTTTCCTTTGAAATTAGGGTGATAAGTGCCGAGATAAGATAGCACTTCAGAACGTACCTACTCCTTTCATACTTCAGGCTGAGTCTAATATTTGTAAGTTTTAAGTATACTCAAGCGAGGCAAACCTTCGCAATAAACAACTTGTTAAAACGTTTTTAATGACTATTTAAGTAATTAATAAAGAAATTAAGAATGTAAAAGAAATATATGTTGACCATTTTAAGTTATTGCTAAGTATCATGTCAAATTGAAACTTTGGAAGGTGTTTGGAAGTCTATGACAACATAAAAATCTGGCATATTCACCTTTCTTCCCACCTGATAATTTAGTCTAAGTTCTTTGTTCAGAGTCTTCTAGTTAAAGTTAACCATTCAAATATTTTTGTATATGTATATGTATGGATGTTTGTTACTCTTTCACGCCAGAACGGATGAACGGATGTGGATGAAATTTGGCACAGAAATAGATTATAGTCTCGAACAATACATAGGTTACTTTTTATCCCGGAAAATATACGGTTCCCGAGGGATAGTTTTTCGTTGCGAAGCGAGGGTGAGCCGCTAGTAAGTAGGTAATAACTGGATAAGTGATTTTTAGTTTAGTTACAATTTTATTACTTTTATCTTTAAATGTCTTAATAAATAGGTAACAATAGAGTATAATTCAATACTAAAATAATTGAATAACTATAACATCATGCGTGATGCAATATTATGGTCAGTATAGAAGCATTCTTTTACAATTACACAACTTTTCCGTGTGGCTATAGTTCGAAACAATAAACTTGTAAGGAAATACGTAGGCCGGAAAGTAACGAGACACTTCATAAACCAATCCGATTGATAATGTTTTACGTATATCTTTGTCTCCGCAAAAGAAAGATCTTAGTCATCGCTTGTAGAGCGAAATAAGATAATGACGCGAAAATTATTGGATGATTTATTTCACTTCATATATAATTCATGTACATACTTCTTATATTTTAAATATTAAACATGTTAGGTTTTCTGCTTCTGTACTTCAAGTATTAGCTTATGTACAAGTAGCACAGTAACTAGTGACAGTCGCTCGGTTCACTTGAGTTCGTCTCTAGATGTAATAATATTTTAGCAGGTAAAACAAATTTACTAAGAACTTCATGAATAAAAAAAAGATTTGTGAGAGGAAAAGTAAGGATTTTCCAGGCACGGGATATGGGAATTAATATGTATCTGTCGACATATTCATTCTAAACTTAAGTGGCATCTGTTGTTTACATCACTTTTCTAGTCTTTACGCTGTAAAGATATAAAAGGATTAAAAAATCAACTTTGAAATACTTAGAGGACATTGAATACTTACGCGTTATCTTCCATCCACGTGGGTTGTATTTTGAGACAGTTGTAAGCTATTATATGGTTATCCCCTGCACCGACCCATGGCCAAAGGCAATGAGGGCCTCTGAGACCGCTGCCGGTTTGCCAGCCAGCCGGCAAATTGCCTTCGCCAAGAGATATGTTGGTTATAACGTAGCCTTCTACTGAGTCTATGGAAAATACTACTAAAGCAGTGTTCCACGATAGTGGCCTTTCCCTAAAAAGACCGATCTGCAAAAAATGTTTGAAATTACGTATTATTGATTATTTTAATTAATTAAAATATTTGCACAAATAATGTACTGTTATCATAGACATCGATTATGATCTTAATAAGTACCATAAGTCTGATTGAACGGTTGGTTTATATCTAATGTTGTTGTTTGTTCATTTATTTTTTGTCATGCAAATGATTGATAAGCGAAATTTCAAGATAATATTTCTATATATTGTACGTATATTTACATCCGCCAAGAAATATTTATATGAGGAATGATTTCCTGAACAAATATTAATTAATTTGCTTCAGCTAACGGTTACTTTATGTTTTAGACGGTAAAAATAGCATAGAGACTTGTTGACTGATGCGCAACTAAACAAACCGTCAACATTTGTAAATTTTATATCATTTTTTTTATTAAATCCTACAAATCTCATGAAAAGTGTTCTATTTAAAAAAAAACTATAACTTAATATATTATTATACTAGCAGCTTACACTCGCTTCTTCTTGGCTATCGTGCCAAACCGTAGCCTATGATTTTGTTCAGGAATTTCATACAAAATTTTATCCAAATCCGTCTAGCCATTTCAGCGTTAAGGAGTAATAAGCATACATATGTACATACAAACTTTAGTCGCGGGTAATGCGATTGCCTAGCCAACAACAGATAACAATTTTAATTGCTAGAAATAGAAAATATAGTTTAACAGTATGATTAAAAACATAGACTTTTCTTTACTTTATATAAATGGAATATACCTATGTACATACTATATGTATTATTGTTAATTAAGCATAATAGTTTAATGACTAGCAAGTACCAACTTCATTCAACTACAACTAACATAAAATCTGATTTAGTGTTAATTTGAAATCACAAACCGCGGCGTGAATGTATATACGTAATAAATCGTGATTTCAATAATATTATATGTTATAATATAAAATAATGACAATATTAAATGAAAATAACCTTTACATTTTTACTTAGGAAATGATATATCAGACCAAGCGTTATCCATTGAATTGCTCCATAAAGCGCATCGTTACGTGCTGTGCGTGTGTTTCCGTTTCGTTCTTAGTAATAATTTTACACACAACGGCTGTAATGACGATCGTCAGGTGACGGGACGTACGTATGAGTAAAGACGTACTATCGAATATCGTAACGCTCGAGCTCAATAAAACTCAATGATACGATTATAAAAACTTGGTATTCAATCTCAATTCTGCTTTTTAAGGAAAATTTTGGTTTTAAGGAAAACATTTGCTTTATTAGTTATTTTTATACTTGTTAACCGACTTTCAAAAAGGAGGAATTCTCAATTCGTTGGAATCTTTGTTTTTTTTTGTATGCATGTTCACCGATTACTCGAAGACGCCTGAACCGATTTGGAAATATTTTTTTTGTTTCGAAGGATATACTTCCCAGGTGGTCCTATTTAAATTTTATCGATATCGGTTGAGCGGTTTTTAAAAAAATCAACAAATAAACTATGCTTTTAAATAAATTGCTTAATCGAATATGTTATTAAAAAACTTTCTACTTACAAATTACTTGCTTAATACGTCTATTCTAAAAATAGAAAAATAAAAACTTAAAAAAACCGACTTCCAAGCAATAAAATGTAAAGAATAAGTAAATGGGTTTCATTTAGAATAGATACTCGTACCTAATCAGATCTTTTCGAAGTCGGTGCCAGCCGATGCAAAGAAAATCTAATATATTTCGATCCCTAAAATAAATCACAAATTGATGTATAATATTTTAACTATAACTAGAGTTAATACCTAATCATATTTACCTAATAGATATTCATATCTTAAAACATTGTCGGCTGGCACCGACTTCGAAAATATCTGATTAAATATCTAAATGAAAATCCCCGTTTACTTATTTTTTACATTTTAGTCCCTGATAGCCGGTTTTTATTTTTTTAATTTATCCTAATTTATTTATTTTACAATTATAATAATATCACAAGCAGTATCTGAATAATATATTTTAATTATTTTATCTTAAAATCTGCTTGGTTTTCCACTTTATATATCGGAATTACTTATCGTGACGCAGTCAGATGTATCTCTGATTGAAATTAGAGGTCGTTGGTCTCACTTGCAATTTTTATTGTCCATTTAAATGTTTGTTAGGGATTAGAGCAGATAAATCGTAGACCGTGGTGTACCGAAAGTACCACCGCTCTGAACATGAAACACGTTAAAGTAAAATAAATATGTATATATGTACATAAACTTATATGTTTCAAGGATAGCCTAGCCTTGTGATGCGATTCACTAGCGATAGAAATACCTGTGTACATACATACCTGTCTAGGAATGTTGGAACATGTGCTGAAATCCCAATTAAGTTCAATAGCATCTAATAAATTTGCTGCTCCAGGTCTATGAATCTCGGGAGAATGTATAGTCACCCAAACTCTTCCACACGCTGACTTCTCCAATTCTTGATTGTTTGCTGAAAATATGTTAAATAAAATTTGAAATATTTTATCATCATTTTGAAATTGAAGTCGTAGGTTTTGTGCTAGATTAATTTACATTTGAAAATTGGAGGCGTACTGAGCATTAAAAAGTTATGTTTATGTTCTTGCACACTTGTCTATTTTAGCCTTTTTCCATCATATTTTTAGTGTTTAAATGAAATACAGATTATAATTATTGTTACTGTGCATTTTATTCATATGAAATATAGACTTAATCAAGATACGCTTTTTAGAAACGACCTATTTGCAGTATAACCTGCTTTGGTGCAGTATACGCCTTCACTATGAAATAATGAGAACATTAGTATCACCAACACCAAATGTACAGTCAACAGCAGTAATATATTAAATTAATAAAATAAAATAATACATTAAAGATTATTTTTTTCAGTAGGCACCTATATATGACTGCTTTTGACTGTACTTGTCGAGCCTCAGCTACGTACATACACGTATTATATGTCGCATGATTCTGCTTATTTTTATATCCGTGTCCGAAGAGGGTGTCCGAAATTGAAATGACATGAATGACACTGAAATGACAATGAAATATGTTGAAATATGCATGTTACAATAAACATTTTAAAAATATGAATGCATAAGAATTGATTAATTTATTACTAATCTTTTACTACGAGTACAATAAAAATAAAAACAGGTAATAAAACATGTCTATTATAGTATAAAACATTTCAATTGCAACATTTTTGGAGGTTTTTTTTTTAAATCTACTTTTCTATTGTGACTAAATGATCTTAAAAAAGTAAATTTATTATTTTTCCTTACTAAATAAAAATGTGGACAAACAATTATATAACGTCCAAATTGAATAAGTTAATTTTGATATTATATTAAAATGAGCTTGCTTCATCAGAACATAAATGTAGAATCGTGTCATACAGCTTTATTATTCACAAAACGGTACAAAGGATACGTAAAGGGCTTGTGAAATCTCTTAATCGTACCTATTAAAATTTAATCTTACTTCATATTAATATATGTACCTGTATTCATGGTTGTTTTCAAGATTTAAATATTATTTCTAATTTATTTTTAAGAAATGCGATATTTAAAATTTTATTTTTATGTAATAGCTTGTGACAATGTTTGGAAGCATGTGACTCTAAACGTTAAACACATTTGTATGAAACTTTTCTCCAAAAGATAGATCATGTCCAGGACTGGAGAATGCTTTATTTCGGTAAGGACACCTTGTGATATTTGTCCACGTTTAATGTTATTATAACATTCAGGCCATGATAGATTAGAATTATCCCATCGGATTGGAAATAAAATATTTGTCACTTGGTTGAAGCAGCGGGCAGGCTAGTACTTAATAAAAGTAACAGACAGGTAAAAAATTAAAAAGGCATGTTTTTGTTCACACAATTCGGAACTTTGTTATTGCGATTAAATTGTTTTTTATCTGAAAGAAAATCACGACATAATGTGTCCCAGTTTCACTGTCATTGAAGTCCAAATTACATAATTATAATGACATAACATTGTAACGGTAGTCTAAGCGCGTGCGACTCCTTTGCGGGCTAAGCGTTGCATAAGTTGTAGGAACTCTATGCTCTTTAGCTGTGTGACCTAAATAAACTGTATAAAATAGAACATAAATAAAAAAAAAATGAAACGAATCCTAATAATTAAATCTTTACATGTAACAGAAATATGTATGTATGTTCGTTTGTCCTTACACACAGCACCGGAATAATCGATCAACATCTTTTTTGTATTAGGATGGTATAGACGCCGAAGAGTAGTTACTGGACCGGAGCAAACCGGATATGGGCTACACTTTATCAAATAATATCTTAACCATATTATTCTCTTGCAATAAATTAGTATTTTCATATGAGTGAAACATTTTGATATGATCGTTGAGATTCTTTGTATGAAAATCATTACTTAGTGGTAATTAGGTAAATTAAATTATGATTTTATTTTATAGCATTTTGTCTTAAGCTTAGCGCCTGTGAGTGACTCTTTATTATTATATTATTGTTTTAGGGATACAAGTAATATTACATGCCACAAATTCTACAAATTTACGGAAAAATACGCTTTTAAAATGATTAAAATTTTAACCTAGATATACAGACAGACGTCTAAAACAGAGTTTACGTTTATTACATTTATTATTACGTTCTTAATATTTTATTGTTGTCTGTTGAAGATAGTGAAGATGTTAATAACTGAAGCATTAATATTAATTGGTATTAAAATAAAATAATAACACCACTAGAGAAGTACTAGACAACCCTTATAAAACTCAATAGGAAAATTTTAACATTTAAATGGGAGAATAAAAAGTCACAACGAAAATTGTTGTTACTCTGTTATTTAAAAATAACTTGCGAACCTGGGTGTGCCCATAAACTACATTTATAAGAAAGGCAAGAAAAAAGTCCAAATTGTTAAAAATAATAATAATAATTGGTATTTCTAATAATGGTAATAATTCTGAAGAATTTGAATAATACTTTTGTTATGAATCTAGCTCAATATTTTTAATTACATGTCTTTTATTGGTGCCCCTCATTTCTCTTATCTTGGTTTGAAAACGAGATAGCTTCTCTTTGAACTTTATCTATATGTATAATTTATTTAATTTATATAGTATATAATGGTATATATTTAAAAAACTTCTTCAAAAATGTGCATTTTATCGTTTAAGTTTTTTATTTTAGTCTTACTGTATGAATTCTAAGTAAGTAAAATTTTGTTTTGTTACTAAAAACGTCTTACAGGTAAATTATAATTACCTTAAACTCTACAGTACATAAGTAGGTAGCACAGTTAACGCAGAGTCACTGTCATGGTTAAATACGGAAAACATTTTCTTTTATACACGTCGTGTAATTGTAAACAAGTCTTTCCTCACTGATTAGCTTACAATCATATATTATAATCATAATAAATTTAATTCTTTCATTTTACTTAATCGCCTCCTGTGAATTATCTATTGTTTATATCTTTTTTTTGAATATTTTTTTGTGGTGTACAATAAAGTATCTATCTAGAATCATTGGTTGAACTCTTAAGTTAACTTAATGACAATGACAAATAATAATGACAAAACCCTTGAAAATTCTACATAAATATGTAATTTATGTAGTTTTTTTTTCAGTTGTTTTTCACATTTGGTAATGTATTGAAATTTAAATATTCTACTTGCTAATTTATATATTTTTTTCTAAATTTTATACGTCGTCTTTTAGATGTTGAAACTTATTTACGTTCTTTTTAACTGGATCAAATGATAATAACAAAGTGATATGTATGTATATATTTACCTATATATTGAATGAATGATTTGGACAATTAAAATATTATTTTTTAACAAACACGATACATAAAATAGGTATTCAATATATTGAGTAGAAAAACTTACGTGCAATAGAAGCGCCGATTGCAGAAGCGGCCAGGAAAGCCACTGCGTATAACGAGACGGCCATCTCTACTGGTGGCTCCCGTGCCACTGAGTACTTTCGGCATTCCTTCGCTACAATTACTCGTTGCGCAGGATACTCTACAATAGCTGATGGATCGACTAAATCTGTATATAGTACATTACACTCTACCTTACTTATAAGATATGAAGGTTAAGTTGTGTCTATCAATGTATACTGTAGTATTAAATTCGTCAGTTAAACCAATCATTGTAGGGAGTAAGAGCAATGAATGTGCGGCTTCCGACGGTTCACATGTTCCCGTTCATAGTTGGTAGAAACACACGGTCAGGGCTTGGTGCCTCCACGGGCAAATATTCGGATGAACTATTATAAAGTATTTAAACGAATTCGGAAGACACTATATGTCTAATATGTATGTATTTTGCGATTAAAATATTTTAAAGTTATACGTAAGTCAAAATTATTTAGCACTAAAATATTTACAGTGAATAAATATCGAATTTGTTACTTTGTTATCATTCAAAAATACTACGCTGTTTTTGAGCCTATACTATTTAATATAGGTACCTACTAAGCAGTATATTAATATAAAGGCGAAATGTCGATAAAATAAATATGTAATAATCATTAATATATTTTTCTTTTAACGTAACAATTTACATAAGTAATTACGTAACACAAACTTTATATGTAGAATATATCATGAATACTTCTTTGACACAGAAAATAATATAGGTAATATTTATTAAATATCATAACGGTAAATAAGGTATTATTACATAAGGAGCAAAATATTATTCATTAATTGAGTTATTAAAGTATTAAATTACGTACGTAATTAATATATTATATTCTCAGTTACACTGATATTGAGTGTTAATCTTACGTATTGAAAGTAATTATAGATTAATATTTTATCGTTAAATATTAAATTTATTTGATAATGTCTTATCAAATTTTGTTCGTTTAGTATATTAATTTAAGGTTATATATGCATCATAAATAAAATTTTCTTTTCGACATTTTTCGCAGATTTATTTTTATTTTTGGGTTCCGACGTTGCACATCACCAAAAGGGAAGGAATTTTCCGTATAGTTCAAGTTAAAAATAAAATTACTTTTATCACTAATATTTTATTACTTTCGATAGTTAGTAGGCATATTATATGTATTATAAGCTTTAAATATAACATTTAATGAACAAATATATAATCAATATAGTTCGATAAAAAAATAAAGAGTAACGTAGTTAACGGCTTAAAATAAATAAAGGCACCAATCAAATGCAAAGTTTCATAGAAGAAAAATGAAAAACATAATCTCATAATCTCTATAATAAATAAATAAAAAATCGGTCAGTGTCGTGGGACACTTGGTAGGAGCGAAGTTCCTTTCGCTGTCCGCCCTTGGCTTAATTAGTTCATATACATTGTCACGAGTACAAAGGTAGTATAGACATCGAGCAACATACATGTTGAAGCTCATCGAAGAAAAACCTGTACAGAGTGCACAGGATTTTCTTACAACACACACTCCTCAACACTTATGATCGCCTGGTACTTTTTTCACGAGTTCTAGGCGACCACGAACCTAAAGGAGTGCTCATTACCTATACTCGTATATGTATGTAGGGTGTACCAGGCGAGCGTAAGTGTTAAGGAGGTTGATACACGCTTTGCCCCTCAAAGCGTGTATCAACCTCCTTAACACTTATGATCGCCTGGTACTTGTGATGACGTCACACGGATTTCTCTTAGCCAATAAATGTAATTATAATAAATAATTAATTAAGTCTTTTTCGTTACGTAACCTTTTTCGTTATGTGACGTTTTCTACCTGTCAACTCCTACCGCAAACCGCGTTAACGAACTTCGTTCCAAAAACACTACATACGATCGCATTGAGCGTCTCCTACTAAAAATAAAAGATTCTACTAGGAAATGTAAGCAATTGTATTTAAAACTACTAAATTATATTACACAAATAAAAGCGGGACACCTTTTGAAGTAACACTTCTTTACACACGCTTGACTTGGGGGGTGAATGCGTTATGAAAAAATGCACGTACGTTTGTTGCCATGTTAACCGTTGTTATAGTCTGACAAATGATATATAATATGATATTCTTTCATTAAATGATATTCTATAAATATATGATTGTAATATGCTTAATATGCGTTATTTTTAGTATTTCACCTATCCTAATTATTTAAAACATAAATTGAATTTCATAAAGATTATCGATAACCTACAGAAGTTTTACTTCTTGCGCGTGTACACATTCATACACGCACTCTTTATTTTTTTTGTATACAGACTTGTCTACTAAGTTTTCCGGTTTCTAAAAGTGTTTCTAAAAATGTTAATTGCATATATTGAAAATTGTTATTGACCATGTTTTTCGAAATCTATAAAATTTTCAGATATACTAGGTCGATGTACATTGACATTATTTGATGCTGCTAGAGACGGTGCGCGACTAGGGTTTCGTAACACAGGCTTCTGTAACTGGACGAAGTTTAACGACGACTTCAATTCTTTGATGAAGACTTCCTTATGAGTCACCTGAAAGTAAATAATACTTATTACACGCTATCTTCAAACATGGACTCAAATATAGAAAATAAATAAATAAAATTCAATATATAACCAAAATAGATTTTCGTCGTAAAATTGTGATTTTTTTGTTATCCATCTTTCAAGAAAGTACATGCGATATTTAATTTTTGATTCAGAGAGATCATCGTTATTGTTTACTTAAATATTTTACCTGTTCTCGAACAACAATATTCCGAACTTCATTAAAGAACTCTGCTGCTGTTATAAAAAAGCAGAATACTAGACCGACTATAAGTACTATAAAAGCTCCCATTAAATTTTGCATTTCCAAATCACCTTCTGCGTCATTTTTATCCTTTTCACCCTGAAAATATTAATAGTATATTAAACGATATACGATCAAATTTTTAGAGAGAGCTTATTGATAGAGTTTTCATATTCATATTATCCAAAATAATGAGATTAAGTAAATTATACTATTTTATTAAAATAAACATTAAATGACAATATAAAAATAATACAAACACCGCATTTCATTGCGTCATATTTTTCTTCCCACCATTTCTTTCTAATTTCATCCAATATCGTGCGTTCCTTTAATTCTAAAATAGCTCTATTGATATGTTTCCTAAAGGGAGAATCTGCAAAGGTTAGAAATATAATTAGTGTAATTTAAAACATTTTACGTTTACTTTAGTCATTAAAAGCGAAATATACTTTAAAGGAAGTAGATAAAAGCAAATCAGCTTATTAAATGTTATATACATACTTTATTAGGCAGCCATAAGAGAATAAAGTCCCATTGAGGAAGAGATTATTTTATTAATTACTTAAAATGGTTCAATTTGATGTAAATATCATATTGCAAGGAAAATTACGTTTATATTTGGAGAACTAAATTAAGGAATTTTGATCATCTAATAATAAGTTTAACGAAAATATTTTAAGGAAAATACAAAGCCATTTAAGCATTTAAATTATGTAGAAAAATTTATAAGTACGCACTTGCTGGCATGGCAATACCATAGTCTTTAGAGTCTAATTCTTCGCCAACTTTTTTAAGTTCGCATTTTCTTTTCAATTTGTATTCTATTGTGCTCGATTCCATAAAAAATGCATATTTGCTTTTTCCCTTAAGAACTCTCATTTCACCTTCATCGTTATTGTTAACTAATACTACAGGATTGGCCATCATATTCTCATAAATTCGACGATACGTTTTATCTTTAGAATTCTGAGAATAAAAAGGATTATCATGTTTTGTTTTTAGACACGTGTCCATAATATAAGTAGAAAATGTCGAACTATAGTATGTATCTATATGAATTTATATTTTATTATACTAAGTAGGAAATAAACCTTAAAAAAATCTAAAGTTGATCCATCTTTGATAGCGCCGTATAAAACCTTAGTTTGTTTTGCTAACTCTTCAACATTGTTGATAGGTAACTCTCCTAACGCCGATGTCATGGATGCAGACAGTTGCGCAATATATGTCTGACAAACGATCATGGCGAAAAACCACCACATACTGCAAACCCATCGAGATCCGATAGCTCTAAAATAGATATATTGTAATTATTATTGAAGTATATAGGTATTGCATTATTATATTATTTAATATTCGTTTGCATTGTTGTAAGAAAAGTGAACGAACTATCTAGATGACATTTTAAAATATTGATTATAAGAATTAATCTATCTTAAATCAGTTAAATTGTTTTTTGTTGGTCATATGGAATATTTAAAAAAGAAGAAATATAAGTAAAAAAAGTATTTTTATTATTATTGTTGTGTTACTATGTTATTTAATTTAGTTTTTATGGCTTTTAAAGTAATTTTAAAAGAGCAGAGATTACGTCTCAAGCGGAATAATATTTCATATTCAATTATAAAACTTATAAAGATTATAAAAATGTTTAAAGTTAAAAAATATTGTAAGGTACTTTGGTGCCATTTTTCAATTTTTTGAATTCATTTTGTTATTTGTGGGTAGGCTGTCTATAACACCTATATAATACCTTTGAGACATCTAACACCTTAGTCTCTCCCGTGACCATGATTGCTGATTTGACTTTGACTTGCATGATTCGAAACGTCGGGAACCAAAAATTAAAATAAATTCGCGAAAAAATCCGAAATGATAGTTTTATTTAAAATGTCAAATATTCGCGTAAATCTAAGAAAGTATTAAATTGTACTATTCAAAAAATAATTTATCATTTGAGCCCTGATAACGTCCACAAGATTAGTAACCACTAAAGATGATGTTCGTAGAATATGGATAACACGATATATATATATTATTATATAATATTTTACTTAGGTAATATATCGCATCCTTGTGTCATAATTGAGCCCATAGTAAGCCATGCACAATTCTTGAAGTTCCAAATATTTTCTAATTCTTCGGGATCTTTATCGCAAGGCTGTGGATTTTCCCAGTCAGCAGGTGATATTCTGATAAAAAGAAAGAAGTCTTATTATACATATACTAGCGGACCCGACAGACGTTGTCCTGTCCTACACGTCTTTAATTTGAAAATTACAAACTTTTTTTAATAATTTTTTTGATGAAAATTATTATTCAAATTGTGAATCTAAACCATTCCCAGATCCCCTTGAACACACACAAAAAATTTCATCAAAATCGGTCCAGTCGTTTGAGAGAAGTTCAGTGACATACACACCCCCAGAAGAATTATATATATAAAGATAGATAAAGTATTATGACTAATATTTAAGTAAATATGACTCGAATAACCTTGAGCAAACAAAAAGAACGATAGATACAACACAATATGCTGTAGCAGTATGCATCCATACTTCAAATGTATAAGGATTTAAAAATGAAAACTGTCCTGGCGGTATGTTTTTTTCTTTCGTATACAATATACTTATCCCTAGGGACATAAATGGGACTGAAAAGTCTACAACTTTTTTTCTTTCTTCTGTAATTGTCAAATCACAAACAGCCAAATCTGCTTTCTGTAATTGTAAAAAAAATATACTTAGAATATAATTAACATGTTACAATTCAATAATATATACCTGATATTATAGAGATGTACTAACCTTATCTAAAAGTTCGCCAATTAATCCACTCCATTTTTTCTTTTCCGGGTCATATTTTCCATAATGATCTTCTTTATGCATAAATTCATAAGTATAATTGAAATTATAATTGCGTAAAATTCTGAATATGTTCTTAACCAGATCGACTGAAAATCCTTCGTATTTGTCATCTCCATCTTCTTCTTGACAACTAGGATCGTCTTCTGGACATTTCATTTTATCGTAGAAGTAAGGCTTGGCTTTTCTAGATATAATCTAAAGAAATAATTAAAAAAAATAGAAAATCACGCTTTTGGCTAGCTGTACGAGACTCGTTAGATACATCCAAACTCATAGGTTTTATTAGTAGCATAGAATACAATATCCTGGCTACATGATCAAGTCAGCTCGATGGTATCAAATTAATGTGATCCAGTTTTCTTAATGCTTAAGGTATAAAGTTTTAAACCAATACGATACGATGCTGCATATGAAACTAAAAAAATTACGTTAATAAAAAGTTATTGTTAATTTTATAATTATTATTTATTTAGGAATTAATTATTATTTATTTAGGAATATTAATTTAACTGATATAATTTGCCCTTACAATAAAATGCTTGGTATTTTTTGGATTATCCAAATCTGGTAAGCGTTCTTCTTCTATAATTTGACCTTTGCTTGTGAAATTCCACTTGCCAAGAGTACGTCTTCTTTTAATAAATATTTCATTGACATGCAAAGTGTAATTAACCCTTTCACCCTTTTCATTGAATTCAATGTTTCCCGAAACACCTGTAGTTCTTGTCTAAATAAAGAAGAAAATATTGAGACTCAATGTTAGCTATAAAGCAGTAGTATAAATTCTTATGTAAAGATAAAAATATATAAGTATCAGTATTATATTCTTTTAATTTTTTATCAAATTAAAAGAAGTAAAATGTCTGTGTGCATATAATTATTTTTTTTCTATAGTTTGTTTTCATTTACGAAAATCATCGCAATACTTACATTTAATATTTGATACTGAAGCATACTGCCATATGGCCACGGACCTTCATTGGATTCACATAAATGATTGTTTGGTTTTTCTATTTCACCTGATGCTTCAAGTTTTTGAAGGGCTTTGAGAACATGATTTGCTACATCGTTCATCATCAAAGCTTCTATCTAATAAATTAAAAGTAAACAGTTGTATAAATGAGATGTTTGTTTTTCGTATCTGTGGCTGTGTAACAAGAATTGATCTTAGTGCGACTAAATCTAATTGATAGCTAGTTTATTTTGAATGGTCTTAATAATATAGTTCTATTGCATAAAAATTATCCATAGTAAGACTTATATAAATAAATCGTGTGTTATCGTTAAACAAATTGATATTTTTACTATGATTAAAATAAGTTATTATTTATATTTATATTATTTTCTTAAAATACAACTAAATAACTATACTATATTATATTAATTGTACCTTCATATTTGTAACAGGAGGTCGAGTTTGTTCTAAAATAGGTCCGTCTTCATTAATCCACCAACCAACTCTAGGAACTAAAAAATGTTTTGAGTCATTGAGTTTTTCAAAATTCGTCAAGCTCAGCCAGGTTACGTTTGATTCAAACTTGAGGAGATCATTGACGATTGTGGAAGCATCCATATTTATTAAAACATAGTGCTACAAAGAAGAAAAACAGCACATTAGTAAAACTTAAAGATTTTTTTAAAAATACACAATTTTAACATGCGATGTCTGTATATAAAATATTTTATGATATATTTGGAAAATGGCCTTTTCGATATTATTTTCTTATAAATTTGAAAAACATGTTTACATTAGATATATTTACAGTAAGAATAGGTGGGTTTAAAAAGATAATAGATGTGAATACCTGATAATAATTAACCATGTTAACGTAACGAGCTTGAGTTAAGTATTGTATTATACGATCAACATGACAGTCCAAAATTATACGATACTCTTTAAACTCACTGAGATCCTTAAATACCTGTAAAAAATTGTAGTTGTATTATGTATAAAACATATTAGTACAAGCAATTACTCCTTTCCATTAACCAAAAGTAGAGCAATGTTTGAAAGTGGAATTTTGCTCTGGTAAAATATTCAGGCGATTTGAATTCCAAGTTTTCTACGTAGTGTAAAGAAGTAATGCTTTGCGTTTAGGTTTGCGACATAGGTTTCAATATACATGCCATTTATACATAATATTTTTGTAAAGATATAACTATATTATGAAAAGCCTAGATTAAAATCTTTTATTATTAAACACAATTTAATTATAACTACTTTTTAACTAAACGAGGGCAACCGGTGGATTAATTTTAATTTTTGACCATATGAAAGTCGACTCAAAATTAGCGGAGTTATCGTTTTATGTACAAAAAATATACAACCGTATTGTATAACTTTTCCTTCCTGAAGTCGGTTGTAAACAAACTGCTTAAGTAACTATCCATCACTCTTAAGTGCCTTTTAATAGCAACGGGATCTTAAGTAATTAAGAATTCCATGTAAGAAATTCCCTTGGGATTTTCCATACATTATATATGCGAAAAGCGCTTTGAGTTATTTGCATATGTTCATATAATTTGAGTTGAGGTGGTGCGAGTGTATTACCGGCTAGCTTCTTAGCTTTTTAATGTAAATTAAGTGACATAGTCATATTGTGCTAATTAACTTATTAAAATATTATGTTAAGATACATAAAATAAAAGCGTCAGATTATTTATTTCAATGTATTGCGAATATCGAACCAAAAATCCACAAAAATGTTGTTTTGACTTTTGACAAATTACTACAATAATATTAGGGTTTAAAATATGCGAATTTAAATTAATTTATTATCTTTATAATATACTCCACTAAAATTATATTTATATTTGTTTACAATTTTTATTATATGATGCAGAAGATTAAACTACTATCATTCTTATCTAATTATGTCTGTCAATTAGGTAAATAAGAAATTGATAAACTTTTTCTCATATCGAATGACTTAGGATAGGCTAGGGGGAACCAAGTCTGAAAAATGATGTGCTGCTGAAAGTTATCCCGCCATATCGTCTTGTCGAATTTATGTGGCAATAGTGGAATTCTGGGGGGAGACTAAATTATTAGGGAGCTCGACATCGGGCAACGCTAATAGGGTTGCGGTAGAATGCTAAAGTGACTGGCCCTGTCTTTTGCAATCGGGATCACCATGGTGGTTTTAGTGGGTACGGGCAAGGGCACCCGTAAAGGGGTTTCCCCACGAATAAAAAAAAGGGGGAACCAAGTGTACTACTAACATTACTGTCAGTATCTTATAATATTAAATATGCAATTCTTGTATAGGTATAAAGGGTGGAACAAAAGGATGGGACATGGAAAAAAAAGTCCCTTAAATATAGTCGTCTTAAATATAGTTATCAAATTTTACTCAAATATTATATTATATAATTTTTTAAAATAAAGAAATGTTTCCATTGAGTAAAACTTAAAAGTAAAACTTTAAACTAAAACTTCAATATTTAAGTTACTTTTCTTCCTAATTCCAATCCCATCCATTTGTTCCATCTGTATATGAGTACATTGTTTCATGTATCTCGGAAACAGCTATAACGATTTAGATCATGTTTTTAAGATAAAGTTTTTCTTTCTAAGTTTATCTATATACCATTTCCGAAAAACCCTATTTCACAGAAAAGAAAAATACTGTGTGAAGCTCGGTCACCGAGTTTCTAAGGCCTAATAAAATGCTTTTTAACTCAATAAATATGTAAATGAATATAAATTTGAATTGCTATTATTTCTTAACTTATAACTTAAGCAATAAAAACAATAACTAAATAATAATGTCCTAAGTGATTTCGGCTACGTCAGCCAATTTCATGGAGGCTCGTCATGAGCGCTGGAGATATTATAGTGCACAAATTACAGTTACTATACCTACTCTATTCCTTTTACATTTAAAGATAATCGGTGAGATATCTGACGTAGACCATCGGGTTTTATGTGCTCTCCGGGCACGATAGTTTAATACCGCTATTACTCTTACTTCTGGCTATTATTAAAAAATTCTAAACAGAAAAACCTATAAAGGATACTTGGCTCGACGTGGGATTTGAACCCAGGACTTTCGGTTGTGCAACCATGCATAGCATGCCACCAGACCAACAAGGTAGCCAAGTAATACTATTTTAACAAGAATAAACCCCTAAATTACAATTTTATTCCTTCAAGTTTCAGAGTCTCCGAGTATTGTTCGCGACTTCTTTGTGATATCGAAGTTTGTTACAGTTACTACGTACTTACTTCTAGGTTGTCAGCATCAGGATCTAATTTTCTTACTGTTATTGGATATTCTTTGGTAAACTCAGCTAATATCTTTTGAACTCGGAGCAGTCCTAAAAATATGAGAAAATATTTATGGCAAATATAGTTTTACTGTATGTACTCATACTTGCTTATATTTTAGCGGATTGGTTTGTGTTTATGGTTACTGCTTCGCCTCTTTGAGTAGCAATAAGATGTTACGCAGCTATAATGTTCCTTAATAAATGAGCTATATAAAGTAAAATGGTTTTATAAATTGGGCTGGTAGTTATTAGGAGTATAATATTTGAAGACATAGCTCCATAAAGTTGTGTTATTGACTGTGGGTAGCTTAACCGAACTGATTTATTTTGCGAATAGTATAATAGGCGATTTGTGTGACGTTCACTCAAATTCACAGTCCACTTTGGTTAACTTCATCTTTATATCATATTCTCGCTTTATTTAGCCTTTATTCCTTTTCCATATAAGATGTGCGCGTATTATTTTCATAGAATTCAATCAATCATGTGAATGACATGCTTCTTGCAAGAAAAAATAGTAAAAGTTTATTTGCTCAAAAACACCTTTGGAAATCGCCTTGTCAGGGTTAGATAAAAGTAAAAATAGTTTGTTCTTTTATAATAAATATTATTGTAAATATTTTTTATCTGCAGTTGTAAATATACTATACCAAGGAAAAATACTGTAAGGTAATTGATTTTAGGCTTTCTTTTCCTAATAAACTTTCATTTCTAATATAGGTTTTAAAATTAAAGTAAATTAAAATAGCAATAAAAAAAACGTTATATTAAATACGATTAAAGAAGTATTTACATTTGAGTAACTGCACTTTAGCCTCCTTTTCAATACTATCTCCCTATATAACTTATGTTGATTGGAAAAGTCTACCTTTGCTAACTAATTTTATCGTATGTTAATTTATTTATTTGATATATTATTATATAAGTGCAATAAAGAATAGTAATAATAAAAGACACTATTTAAAAATGTTTACCAGCATCATCTTCGTAAAGAACGGCAAAGTTTTCCCATTTATAGTACTTTAGCAGCATAGCGTACACCTGTAAAATCTCCTCGGCAGGCGGGAAGAAATTTATAGAAATCTTTTTATATGAAAAAGTTTCATTGTTTTCTATTTCTTCCTCCAGATTTACTTCCAGTTCCGGATCTAATGGCTGCCAAGCGGCTTGTATGTGTGGTATATGAGCAATAGCACATTGATCTCGAACTATACCTTCTGTCATAATATTTTGGGGACCCAAAACAGCTATCGGCCGCATTTCTGCATCGGAACACACTAGAATATGAGAATTAAAATACATAATTCAAAAATCATACTTACATGAAATCGTTTGCTTATGGGAATTTTATTGTTTATTGTACTCACAGTCCTTTAGAACAGAGTAACTATCCGGTTTTTTTGGTTGCAGGATAAGTGGTTCAAGGCGCCAATCTCTTATAGCTGCAATTTTATAGATGCTTCTGAATAAAATGTATCAATATGTAAATTGTTTCTAATATTAACTGATCTACTCTTTATTATTTTATTACATAAATATTAAATTAATTGTTTATTTTTTTTAAATATATCATAATTTTCTATTCGTCTTATTAAGTAAAGATAGGGCTTAGGCGAGATGTCATTCTACCGTCATAGAAGAATGGAAACTATAAAAATTGTATTCAAATGACAATTTTTTGGTCATATCATTTTTGTCATGAATAAAATTACATCTAGCCCGTGTTTTTTTATTGACTAAACATTAACGCACATTAATTATACATATTGTGGGATATAGTATACTTATTTATTGATGATAAGTTATATATATACCATACGATATAATTTACGATACGATATAATTTAAATTAAGCGAAATAAATCTAATAGTCTGAAATCAGGATCTAAGCTAATAATTATAAACTTGTAAGATTTACTATATTTTTGTCAGATGATTCATTTTTATTTATATTTTCTTTATGTATAGATAAGTCAGATATACTACCTATACGTGTAGATTCTTTATGTTTAGATAAGTAAAATATATTACTATGTTACGTAAAATTTCTATTACTTTTGCCTTCCTCGACTCCAGCGTGTAACTCCTCATCCCCCAATTTGGCAACACGCATGCTGTCTTTAAAAGCAAGCTTTTGAGTGTATGCATTGTTATCGAATATTCCCGCTGAAATTAACAATGAATACATTATTATTTTAATATTTGAGGCAATTTATCTACAGATTTAAAGTTATATTATATTTTTTTGGACATTTGTATACGCAATAAATGAAATGGAAAGCATTTTGTTACGTGGATTATATTACCTATTTGATAGACAATTTCTTTTGTTTCCGTCACTAGCACTTGTGAGTTTGTATATTGCACTAAATAACAAAACACTACTGTAAACCACCACATTTTTAAATAAATAACAAATCACAACACTCACTAAAATATTTAAAGCAAAGTTAGCACGCTATTGATTAATGAATTTTAAGTCATTGTTCTAATAAGTAATTGGATAACGTATGTATATAGAAACAATGGTTTTCACTTTCACTTGAAAATTGGTTAATTAACTAGTAGTATCTTTCATAATAAATAGTTAATAATGTAAAAAATGGAATGCGCGTTACATCCTGCTTGCGACGTTTATTCGTGAATCAGGCGACAATAATGACGATTCTATCGCATGTCGGCGTTTTCAGTCGATGTGACCTAAAACTGTTTTCCAAAAATACCTCAGACGGCGAGGTGATGGCTTCCATACCGCATGCCGTCTAAACAAAAGTGGCATTTGCGATTGGATTAGTTAAAGTTTATCACCATGCTACTCGTAAAAATATTTCTCGTCATATTTGCATTTAACTGGCCATGGAGTGATGAAGCTCTTAGTGTACAATTTCCTATAGGTGCGTTATAGATTTACTAAAAAATGCATAGCTCTAGGATCTGTGTCTTTATTAGTTTTTTTAATATTTTAGGAGGCCTTTTTAACTCAAAATCGTTGCCAGCTACAGAAATAGCATTTGAAAACAAATTGAACGCAAGTTCTACTAAACCCTATCATGGAAGGTCATTTCACTCAAAAGTTGTTGATAGTTATTCTACTGCTCTCGAGAGTAAGTATTTTTAATCGTGAATGAAATATTTACAATAATATACTTATATTTTTTAAATACTTTCAGTATGTAAACTTACTTCCAATAATAAAGGCATAGCCGCTTTGGTGGATGCAAGGCCAACTAATGGAATTTGTGACATTACTTGCTTATTGTGCAATCGACTCCAAGTAAGTGTATAAAAAATTAAAGATCTCATGTTGAAATAGTATGCTGAAACTTTAATAATGTTAACTACTTTAAGTAGTTATTATTATGAAAAAATCTGAAGTATTTTAATTAATACATCTTTTGAAATTATTTGGAATCTAAATTATAATATTTTATAGATACCTCATTTAATGCTAGGATGGGAACTACCGGCAACGTTAGAGAAGAATTTGTTTACGTTTTCCTACTATCCTCCTCCCGAACTTGTTTCGAAGGCCTATGCAACGCTTATCAAAAATCTTCAATGGGAAAAATTCTCATTTTTCTATGAAGACGATGGCAGTGAGTTACTTTGTACATAAAATATGCTTATATGTAAATTAATACTAAAATAAGATTCTTAAAAACAAGCTTTTAATTAAATGTTCTAAAAAGAAGAAAATAAACTTTAAATAAAATCAAATCCCACAATTTTATTAATTTACACAATTTATCTGTATTATATAATTTACCTATAAAATGCTTTGTCCTGACTCCTGACTGAATGACTGACTGACTGATAAATAAACGCACAGCCTAAACCGCTGGTCGTAGAAACATAAAATTTGGGGGACGTATTCCTTATATGATGTAGGCGTCCGATAAAAAAGATTTTTTGGAGATTCATCCCTTAAGGGGGTAAAATAAGGGATGACAGATTTTATGAAACTTTGTCATTCTTAATGTGAAATGCACGAAAAGTGGTATTTAGTTTTAAGATTAAAAATAAGAACTATATTTATTGTGTTTTTGAAATTCATTCCTTAAAGAGGAAAAAGGGAGTGATAAAGTTTATATAGGCAAATTATATTATCTATGATCAGAATTACTTGAAAATTTGTATTAATGCTCTTCAATATAATTAAATAAATGCTTATTTTATCATTTTACGAAATTCATCACATTCACCCACTAAATTAGGAAATGAAAGTTTGAATGAAACTCTTTCATTTTTTTAATGTAAAATGCACGGATAGCGTACTTTGGCAAATTTTTTGAAATTCATCTCTTACGGGTAAATGAGGGATGTAATGTTCATATGGGATTTTTTTTACGATCAGAATTACTTAAAAATTAGTATTAATTCAAATAAATAAACACGTGTTTTAGTATTCTTCATATCACATATGCAGTGACAACTATAACTATTAATTTATTTTTTAGTTTTTATTTTATTCGTATTATTATCAGCAAATTTATTTTAACTTATCATTTGATATCTATATATCTTAAAAAAACATAGTCGGCCATCTTTGGGAGTCCACCATTTGATTTGATTTTATTACAGACAGACAGACACACCGGGACTGGTGAAACTAAATAAAAGTTTGCAATGATAAATCGCCATTTTGCGACATCTGCTATATTGGCTTTACAATGACGTCACTTTACTCATTATATTTTGATTATCTAGCCCTTTCATTTGATACCCATATCATAGGGGTTAATGTGGAAATTATAAATCACCATTTCGCACCGGCCACCATATTGGATTTATAATGACGTCATGTTGGTTATTGTGTTTCGATCTTCAAGTCCTTTCATTTGATGCCCATATTATAAGAGTCACTATGGAAATGATAAATCTCCATTTTTTAACTATTGCCATGTTGGATTAAAAATGGCGGAATTTAAGTAATCGTACATTGTATCGAGAACCAGTGTGCCAAATTTCAGTTCAATCGAAACACTGCGAAGTGGGTTAAATTTAACTTGCAAAATTCCATTACACACACCGGGACAGGTGAAACTAAATAAAAGCTTGTAATAAATAATGTCTTTAGGATTTAGAATTTTTTTTTGAAATGTTTGTAATAGACCAAAAATAGGTCTTTAGAGGGAAAAATTAGATACGATGCACGGAGAATTGGGGAAGTCGGGAACAGCTGAAAATGTTTTTTTTTTCGATAGGATTTTTTATTGAATTCGAAAATCACAAACAAAATTGATAACGTCTGTGAGTCAGGTAACTACATATTTATAGGTAGTACTGGTAATTTTGAATGTTCGCTTTTATATTAGTAAATTAATTAATTAAATTCATTTATGATTTTTACTGTAGGTTTTATCCGTCTTCAAGAAGTGATACATTCATGGCCGTATAAACAAGAGCAAATTTTATACAAGCAGTTAGATCCGTTGGGTGACAACCGCGAAACTTTTAAATACGTTTTTAAGGTAGCTCACATGAGTCACCATATTTTGGATTGTGATACATGGAATGTGCATAAATATATGAAAGAAATTGTTCAAGTTGATAATTCAACTCAATATCAAGTAAGTTAAAAAATTTGTTTTTTAAAATAGGGCCAACGTTGGACATTAATATTTTATTCTATTTTTGATAATATATTAAACATTATAAATAATTAACTATTATAATCATTATAAACGATTAAACTACATAACAGAAATTAAAATCTTGTGTTGTGGGCATGCTACAAGGATCTACTCGTATCTACACTTGAAATAGATTTTAGAATAGCAAGTCCTCAAAAAATGTTTTCCACTAACCTCATGTATTTTTTTCATTCATCTGTGCTTTTATCGATTTACTTGTATATACCAAAAGTTCTGCATAAATTTATTGTATGAGTGCCTATGATTTATTAATTTCTCATAGTGAAATTTTATGTAAATGATGTAGTTAGTTAAATATATGTATATCAAATTATAAACAGTAATACAAATAATTAGGTGTACCAGATATGTCATAACAAAATCCCTTGCCATCGTGAAGACGATAGTGCGACTTACGTTGTGTTAATTAAGTGCTACAGTAATAACTAAATTTTGTGATAAACGTCTAAATATATTCAGTACGTAAGTTACATTATGCAAAATGAAATATTAATAAATAAACTAGAAAGGCTGGTAGCCATTACTCCGCCCTCCGGAATATAAAAATTTAAAATCCTGATATAACGAATCCAAATTATATGATCTGCTAACAGGTGTAAATTATAATATATTTTTTTTTTCATATTACAGAGTTTCATACTAACTAATCTCGATTCTTATATGGTAGATTTAAAAGAGATTGTTGATTTGAGGGCGAATGTTTCTACACTGCACATGACGAAATCGGATGATATAGGTTGGAAAGATATAAATATGGACGTAGGAAACTATGGCATACGGGTATTTATATTGTATTAAATTTTACAAGTTTACCTTGAAAAAATGTATTTCGTATGTGAAAAGGAAAAAAGAGAACTCTTATACAGGTTTACAGTAGTACAAAAAAATGAATGTATGTTTTTAAATAATTATTGTGACGAATTCAAAGTTGTACATAAAATATATAAAATCGGAATAATATTAAGTATATACCTTTATCTACGTGCTCTTATAAATATAACTTCTATGTAATAATAAATATGATGATGATGATGTTCTCCTAGCCGATTTCGGCTACGGCGGCCAATCTCATTGAGGTTAGCCAACTGCGCAGGAGATATTATAGTGCTCAAGTGTACGCGCAGACACAAGTGCACTCTCTATTCCTATGACTCTCATACTCCGGTGGGACGACCACTCGACACGACCGGTGAGAGTTAAGACGCAGGACCGAGGCTTTACGTGCTCTTCGAGGCACGGGGGTGAAACACCGCCAACTTCTCAACTCCGGGCTGTTACTGAGACTTACTATACAGAAAGTCACAATAACTAAACTTGGCCCGACCCGGGACTCGAACCCAGGACCTCCGGGTGTGCAGCCGTACATGCTAGCCACTACACCACCGAGGCAGTAATAAATATAAATGTACTTTAAAAAAATGAATTAAATAATTTTGTGGCTTCCTTTGTAGCTTGAAACAGCATTAGCTGCAGATGCTTTGAGCCATTTAGAGAAATCTATATCAAGTTTAGATATAGACGTAAAACGATTACCCAATCCTCCACCGTTATGCCTCAAAAACTCAGACGACCCTGAAACAGAGTACAGTGTTTGGGACATGGGAGGTGATCTAAATGAAGCATTGATAAAGGTAACAAAGCTCATGTAATGAAAATAGCAATAAAATATCTTAATATGGATAATTGTTATTTATTTTTAATTAAATCATAAACATAGTTTTATGTGACATAGCCTTAAATAAGATA